GACAAAAATAATCAAAGTTCAATAGTTACAAACCTGCTATTGGTTTGGTGAGTTGCGAAGCATTGACATTCTTCATCTCGCAAATAGCACGTGCTGCCTCGAAATTGACCATATCACTCTTGTGACGTAGCCACCCTTCCAAAAGATCGAGGATCTGCCTTTGAATACTAAAACCAAAATAAGGAGTTGGTTTCATAACACGTCCAAAGACGTACTTTGGATCTTCTTCCATCACTTTTGCAGCATACCGAATAAGCATGCAAAGAGCCATAGAATTTTTAAGCGTTGTGCCTGCACCAGACTTGCCCCCACCAAGCTGCTGTATCATTTTAGTCACAGCCATCCGATCCTGCTGGCGAATCAAGTACAGAAGACCAAGTGCATGATATTGGGTAATGTAGCTCGTTGAAGGAATAGGCTGGTAACCGCTGTTCGAATTTCCGGACGAGCCAAAATTGAGATAACCACCACCTGATGATCCGGGGAAGAAGGATGATGAAGACTTCGCGCTGACCGCTTCCTGAACTTCGTTCACCCAACGCTTGACAACGTCTTTTGCAAGAGGGAATAAGTGATACGAGGACACAAGTGCCGCAGATGAGATAGAGGGTGTTCGGTCTACAATTGCGGCTTTGAAGAAACGCTCTACACCTTGAGCCATGGAAGGCTATACAGCGGTGAGTGTATGGGACTCCATAATTTGGGCAGACGCACGTCAATGATTCGGCAAAGGGCACGAATTGCATTTGGCCGGTAAATGACCTCGGAGTTCGGTTGCATGTCCTTCATAATACTGCTTGTGACCATGATGACATCTTCAGCGGTGGTTGCAAGTTCCTTGATGGCAAGATACACCATCTGCCTCAAGGCGCTCTTCACAAGACATGAGCTGGTCATTGCATGGCAATGAGAAGAGAATAGGGACACACATCCTTATGTTGGAAGAGCTTTGTTGTTCCAAAGAACAATGTTGTTGCCTCCTGCGCGCTGAAAGTCTCCCCGATGTAAAGCAGATAGACAATACGAGTGAGGAGGGCCCTGCATTTCCTGGGGCTAATTGGAGAGTCGTTGAAAACACGGGCTTCTTGAATAATTGTTGTCTTGTTATTATAGTAAGAACTAAGGCCGCTCTCGTCCTCCTTTTTCGAGACGTAAGCCATTGCTGACAGCGATCAAAGGACGAGCTGCAGGTCGGCGATCGCGAAATGCACGACGTGGTCGAGCTGAATTGTTTGTTTGGTCATTGTTTGGTCAAGCGCTTCAACACTCCCGAGTCCAGTCAACGTACAGAGATACGATGTGCGAAAATCATTTACAACACCTGACAACCAGGCGGAATTGAGTAGACTTCAAGTTGGTACATAAGTCAATGAATTATGCTGTCAAGCTCAGATCAAATGCTCGTCAAAAGTTTTTTTTCCGTGCTCCCCTTCAGGCTTCCATCAGTAAACCGGTGAGTTCTTGCTGGGGATTATGCTGATTATAGTGCTTTTACATAGTCATATATTGCTTTATATCACTTTATATTCCAATGTGACGAAAACCTTTCCTATATATTACGATATATAACGATATATGACGATATCTTCTTCTCACAGGTTCTCTGATGGCCTCAATGTCACAGAAACTCACATTATAAATATATCTCAGGGCTAGTGATTTAGGTTTTCGGCGGTGCACTTTGTTCGACAGTACCATGTACTTACGTATGGGCTCGCCCAATCTACAGTAATAGTTTCTGGGGCTGAGGGAGTAGAGGTGAAAGTTGGCTCGCTCGGACAGTCTGCAGACTCTGCTCAATCGCTCTTTTTCGAGTCTTAGGTAGCAATGATGGTGGCCTACATGACCAGTACTGTATAAAGCGAATCCCTTCCGGTGATTATTTCACGCCTCTTTCATCCTCTCTCAGGCCTACTACTGGGCTCAGCGCTCAATCGGCACGGTTACTAAATATCGAGCTCACAGCATTGAGATTCTACTATAGACTCAGTGTTGGCAGTCTGCCGGTACCTCTATGCCTGCCTTGACAAGTGCACTAGCAAACGTTGACCGCGGGCTTCAAGTCCACGTACTGGTACGTTTCCCTTTCTAGATTGTCACATCAGGATATCTTAATGAGCTCTATCGAGGTTTTTATTCCCCCTTTTTGTTCCTTTCTAGACATAATACCGGATGTGCATCAGGCGTCTTCTGTATGGTACCATACCTGTCCTGACTGTGGCCCGCAGACCCATGGCCAGGCCGGAGCTGGTCGCCGGTAATCATTGGAAGGGCGTTAAGCTTCACCCATATCACGGACAGATGAGTCACCGTTGATGGTTATTTTGACAGCAAGGGCAGGGTCGCCACGGGCCTTGAACGTACGTACTCTTCGAGATTAGCATACGTACACAACTTTGAGTTTTGAACATCCGCCACTCGACTCGTCCGTGCATACGTGGTCGTATAGACCAGGTTTCGACCCTAAGTGCCTGCGCAGCGGCATGCCAGGGATCCATGATGACCCTCCTACGACATCCGTGACGTTGCACGGGGTTTAGACAGATATGATTGAAGGCAGTTGATGATCCGCCTCATCTCCTCGTGGGCAAAACGCAGTGCTACCAGTGCATCACCTGATGGATTTTTATAGCCCCAAATTCAAGCTTCCATTATTCAATAAATCAGGACCTTGGCGAGTGCATGATCGTAGAAGGCACCACTTGCTGTATTCTTGAGATAGGTTATTCTGACGACAACTTGCCGTGACATTGTACGCTAAAATTGTGTCATAGTCTCTCATGCAGCGAACACTGTCTATGTCCCTTGGCGGAATTCCTGTCTCCCTGGCCAGACCCTGGCACCCACAGTAAGAAGTATCGTGGGTCCCGGGGCTGTGGCGCAATCACTCCCATGGATTTTTGGCTTACCAACCCTGTCAATTCGTGATGGTCAGCGACAGTGCTGACATAGCCCAAACAAGCTGTCAATTCGATGATACGCAACATGATGAAGGCACTGATGGGCCATATTCGATAATGTCACACCGGCATCAAAAATAGCACTACAGGCGCTTGTATGTGTTGGCCCAAATCAATTCCCAACACCTATCAAGCAAAAAGTGCCACATCGACAAACGCGGTAGCCTTTAAGTGCTGGCCAGTGGCCACTGTATTACGCGACTTTCAATGGCAACCTCATGGAATATAACTCTGAATGATACGAGCCCAGTATTTACGTATTATCCTTACTGTGGGTTGTTTCACCGCGTTTCATTTCAATATTGATTCAAGTTGACTTGACTTGATTTACAGATGATGGTTTTGGAACGGGAAATGGCTGGCAAATTTGGTACTCGGAGACTGGATATAATACGGCATTCGCGAATCCAGGAGTCGGAATTTCAGCACATATCACCTCGCTGCCAGGTGCTAATGTTACCTTGTCATTTTATGGTACGTTGAACCATTGTATGAATTCCCCCTTTGCGATCCTGAATTGGTTACGGCCGATAAAGGCACAGGGATAGAACTCCATGGAGCAGCAAATTGCACATTCGATGTCACGGTAGACGGAATTTTCTCCTCATCCCTCAGCTCCTCCAGTGATGTCCTGTACTCTTCGCAAACGCTGTCGGAAGGAACGCACACGTTCACTCTAACTGCCCACCCAACTTCAGGACAGCAACTTGCATTTGAAAATGCTGTAATCTATATTGAGTACGTCAATAGTCAACGCAATCCGTTTCGGGAGCGCCTGAACTTTCTATCAGACAAGCAATCCCCCAAATGGCATCATATGGTAATACGAACACCACGTTCCTCGACTATACCGGGAACTGGTCTGTCAGCACAGATACACATGTCCCTGGAAGCTTCTTCCATTTTACGGAAACCACGGGTTCAAGTGTGTCTACTACATTCGGAGGGTCATCCGCAGTGGTCCTACAAGGTATTGTAAATTGGGGAAATTGGCAATATACAGTGGTGCGCAATGCACGTCTCATTCTAAAGCCAGGGAGCTTACTTGTGAATTTATCAGTCTCTAAATGGTACCCAATCCGTACTCAACGCAAGCAGCTTCTGGTTCATTCCGGATACTACCTTGTTCTATGAAGGGGGTCTAGATCCAACACAAAATTATGTTTTAAATATTGCCGATACGAGTGAAGATGGCAACAAGCTTGCAATAAACTCCGTGAAACTCTACCAGCCCCAGCCGACCACACTGTAAGTCCACCGATCAGAAAGTTTAAGATCCGGAACTGAAGCGGCTTCCTCGATAAGGTCATCGTCATCGAAGCCTTCAAATACAGGCGAGATATTTGGCGCCATCGTAGGAGTGGTCGTCTTGCTTGCCTTAGTCGTCGGTTTCCTCTTCTGGCGACGTTCACAACGCCTTAAAACAGCAATTTTGAGACGAAATTCCAACTTACTAGCAAACGAAATTCTTCCTAGGGCTCCTGCTGCGCAGTTCCCCGCACTCGCCACGCCATACACTATTTCCAGCGCCACCGCCAATATTCGCCCGGAAAAATTCCCATTGATACCAATCGGCAGAAGCATTGGTGTCAATGATTCACTGCGTGAAAGGGCACTCGCACGTGGTCCTGGGTCTGTCACAAGTTCTTCAAGCCCATACAGCGAAGCCAGCAACGAATCGAGTGGTTCTCTGTCTTCTAGTGCGCGTAGTCGGCAGCGTCCTTTGCCAACTCCACCGGTCGGCGTTTCTTCTCCTGCACTTTCTGCGCGAGAGGTGTACCATTCTCTGAGGCCATCAAGGCTGGAGTCGTCTGTACAGATACCAGACTCAGAAGTGGATAGAATACTGGAAATTATAGCTTCGCGTATAGACATGCCCGAAAGAATCCTTTCTTCTCCTCCACCCCAGTACCGAAGTTGACTCGGTTAGTCTTATTGTTCACATATGCAGGGGCACGAATACATCCACACACATACCCTTTTTTTGTTTCAAGACGCTTAGATTAAGACTGGTCTGTGACCATCTACGTCAAATATATCTTGTGTCGTGATGCCATGAAGAAAGCGTGGTTATTGCAGGTATCGAACGGTAATGAGAATGGAGAAAGAGAGAAATATCCCATGATACAGTATTCTAGTGTGACGCCCACGCGAGTCCAAATATGCCAAAGTGGTAAGTAGAACAGATGAATAAATAGGACCAAGATGCACCAGAATCAAGGTTTCTTACGGGCATAGACGTTTTGTATACACACGTAAACAGGAGTGATTGCTTCGTCCAATTCCGCCACTGCATTATTTTCCAGTTGATCCACAAATTCTTCTGATAACCCATTGCCGAGGAGCAAAGGGCGACCGGATCTCATGAATGCCTGCAAGCGCAATTAATATATAGAGGCTTTACGTCATATTCGGTTGACCTACTTTGACGTCATCTCGCATAGTCGTCCCGATACCATTCCACCAGACACTATTAGGGTCATTGCCCTTTAGCCACGGGGACAATGGTATCCAGAATTCGCGGTACACGACATTCTCGAATGCCGGGTGCTCGCATACCCATCGGTGCATGTGCAAGGAAGCGTCTGCATCACCGCCCCGTTGACGAACGGCTCTGTTCGCATAAGACATCCATAGAGGTGTCCACGGCGGTTGAAAGGTGCCTGCTGGGGGACAAATAGAAGTTTTCTCAATGCCAGTAAAGTGGAATGGAAATTCAGTGATGTCTATTAGACCGCCTGGTCGGAGGACATGAGCGATATGGTTAATGAGCCCCTGGTAATCCCGAATCTGGCACAGGGAGGTAACGTCAGTACTTTAAAAAAAAATACCCGGATTGAATATACTGACACCGGAAGAAATTAATTGAGTATGGACGACGTTGAAATCGCCATAAAAGTGCTCCAGGCCGAGATTAATGTCGTCAACTTCACTTCTAAATCAAGCAAGGGATCTAGCTAAGAAAGGTAGCGCCGAGTAATCGCAGCTATCTTTCTCACCTGCAATTTGGGGGCATGGATCTGCCAAGGAGTAGCTCGCTCAGGAAAGGTTAAATGAACAGGGGTTAACACAAGCACATACGTTGACTGCATGGGAACGAGATCCACAGCTACCGCAGTTGCATTTGGGAATTCTCTCGCAATGTCCATTATCCTGCACATGTGAGCATAGTTAAAAGTTTCGAAAAGAAGAATCTCACCAGCTGCCACTGCCACAGCCTAGGTCAAGGACGGCTTTAACCTCGAACTCATCCTCTGCCATGATTTCGGGCATGGGTGGTGGAAATTTACCAATGGCTTTGCAAAACATGTCATGCTGTCTATCTGTGCTGAATGTTAGACCACAGGGGGACGAAAAGGGGTCACTTTAACCACACCCAAACGGTCAAGTTCTTCATCGTCGGCTGGTAAGCGGTAGACTTCTGAATAATTGTTCAGGCCTCGTCCGTATTCTTGTCTGTACGCTTGGGCTCGTAAAGAACTTGTTGCGGAGAATACTGAGGGAGCTGGGGATTGAGAACGCATAGAGACGTCTATGGATGTTTTTGAGCTTGCGACGCTAAACGCGTCAAGAGACATGTCTGTATATTTGTCAGACTCGGAGTCGACGTCACTGTCAGCGTCCTCAGAACTCATTGCATGGGGGAAAGGGTGATAAGACTGGGACATGGTGAGGATAGACATGGATGAAACGGTCACAGATGAAGAAATATTTATAATAGGTATGGTGGAAAGATGTCATTATAAATTCAGTCTTGATTCAGTCAAACATAAACTTCCCGGCGGAGACATGATAATTGCTCCGCACTCTGATCCAACCTCCAGCCGCTGCAATCGCGTGAACGGATTTGAACCCCTTCCACGTGCCCGAGGACTGTCCGGCGACTACCGGACTTCCATTTTTCCCGTCTTATCCGACTCAGCCCGAACAATCACCTTTACTAGTACTTCTCTTTCATCACTGACTTCTCAGTTTGACATCGTTTCAAGCCTAGACACACGTTTGTAAAAATCATTTTCTTTAGCACTTGTTGAAAAGTTTTACGCTTTAACGTTTGTGAACCAATCAAGGTCTAGAGGCCCCTAATTTGTCCCCGTGCTCTGAGTTGATTCGGCGGATCACTAGCGCAGTCACAATAATTTTGTAGTCGCTCATTTTTTTGGAAACCGAATCTGACATGCAACTACGACTGTGCGGCCGATCGCATTAATATTGTTGGCGCTGGACAGCGTCCACGCCGGCGGTCCGTTTATATGGTAGGTCTAGAGTTTATGATTCTGACTCAATGTTCCGCCGCCGAGTTGCAATGCTGACCGTTGGGGCCAAAATGTGCAAATGCAATGGTCCGAAAGGTCCGCTTGAATAAAATATGCATTCTCGCGTCTATACCGTCTGTGGCGAGTTGGACATGCTCGACTGGGAAATCAGAGCTCCACAATCTTGCGTGCAGTCAAATTGTAAGTCCACCGACTCGGACTAGTGCATAAAGTCGAGTACGTTCGTTTCAGTTTTCCTTGAAGCTCGAATTTCGATGTAGTGTTGTGGTCTTCAAAATCTGCAAATTGGCGTGAGATCCCCCCCCACCCCAAATATTAATACGAGTACATATAATAAATTAAGCCTGGCCTCGCAGTTGATATCAAAATTTCTAACTGTTACTGGCAATCAGGACTGGCCATCAGTATTTCAAATTTCAATCAGTACGATGTCATGATGACTAGATACCGTGACGACTCGCCAATACACATGAAGCCTGGCTCAACCTGATTGCAAGTTTATAATAGTCACTCAGTGGGCGCATCCGATCAGACAAGTTGTTGTAATCCTTAAGGTGTTACAAAATTTTCTACCCTTCCTTGGGATCCGGCGGACATAAACAACGACACAAGGTTGGCGCCTCTAGTACAATCAATTCGCGCACCTGACTTGGCATAATTAAGCTGATACGTACAGCCCGGGGGTAATAGAAATCTCCGGAAATCACTGTGATCACATAGCTTCATAAGACGGAGAATCACTGAGGGTTCGGATATACACAAAAGCAGATAAGCCGCATCAGAGGAGTGTACACTACACCTAGTCAACGCTTCTTTAATTCCTCAAAGCGTCGTGCCAGAACGGCGAACTCATCCTCAGCTTCCTCTTTCGAGAACTCCGTTTGGTTGGATTTTCCTCCGGCTGATACCTCCGGTTTCTCGGTTTCGTCTTCAGTCAGAAGAATATCCGGCAACTTATTAGAAATTTCCTGGGAGTACAACGGAAGCGACTCCAGTGTGTCGCTGCCTGTTGCGCCATCCTTCTGAAGAGGACTGTATGAGATCACATCCCAATTTTAAACCGAATCAACGAACCGGGTTGCTCCCTTGTGCCGCAGCAGTGATTGATGAAGGAGAAGCCCACTTGACACTGTACGCTTTGGCGATCTCGCCGAGATACCCGTCAACCAACTCTTCCGAGGGTGTTTCTATGACGAGTTTCCTCATTATCTGGTACAACAGAAGAAATCGTAAGACCTGGTTTAAAATAGCCGCGGGCAACATACTTACACGTTCACTCACACAGCCACTTCGATTTTCCATCGCAGCTACGGAGAAGTCGCGCCCATACTTGTGCATCAGCATGTCGCGCAGGATCAGTAATTCTGGGGCGGAACACCAGTGAGCAGTATGATTTATGTCACAGTGTTGATTCACCTTTCACTTCCGTTCTCGGAGCTGCGTGTATGATGCTACATACACCTTCGCTGATTCCGGGATCAGGGTCTCGAGTACTGCCGGTGGATGAATCAATTTCGGAAACAAATCAATAGAGCTCCATACTTTTGGTCAAGAAGGCCGAAGCGGGCGATGAGCAACTCGCAGTAAAGTTCAAGAAGCTCGTATAACTCAAGGTTCACATCTTCGTTGATGACTGGCGTCGCACGTCGCATGCACGAACATACCAAATAATTGAACAACCGATGTCCTAGCTAGGGGGAGGAAACCTACCAGCTTCTACTTTGACTCGTGCGCTCTCCGTTTTGCCCTTCTCCAGGAGAAGGGCTATGTCCCTGCGAGAGCCTTTAGCGTGTGCCTCATTCTTCTGCTGCGCTATGCGAAGCCGTTGAACGGAGAGTCTAAAGCATGCAAGAACTTATTAAGCAACGGTAGCGGGAGATCATTGCGATAACGGTATACCGAAGTTGCACCTGTGCAGGCGAAGTTCAGAAAACGTGTCATGATTATTTACAAGTTCTGCACCTTCGCCTTAGCCGTATTCCACGTTGACGGAGGCATTGTGGATTGTAGGACGACACAGCACACGATCCTTCTCCCCTTACACGGCGAACCTATATTTGGCTAGGCAACGAGGCCTGATACAAGACCAAACAGAAACGGGTCAAGTGATTGCAGTAGTTGCAACTATGCCTGAAATATATACTGACCTAAAGCTATCATTAGGCCCGATGGATACAGGTAGCTGCTCAACGAGGATGTCGATTATCTCTCAGCTCAGTCTGACGCCCATTTGCGCTCGTGCCCCGGAGCGTATTCAATGTCCATTATTAATTGGCTCAGAAATCTCGAGGTCACTCCAATTGCGATCATGACGGACAACAGCCAACCACATGGTTACTTTCCATACACGTCCCAAGTTACTACTGTGACGATCTGACGGTTGTCTCGGCGATGTGACCCTAGGTTCGCATGCGCAGGTATCGATCATTGGGTCAAAAGTGCAACCTGGTATCCTCAAATAACTACAGCTGCAGTTTCAGCGCCCGTGTCACCTGTAAGTAGTGGGAATCCATGTCATGATGGTTGCAGTTGATCGTATCCCTTATCCTTCTGAAAATCTCGTCATTCGCGCAGGGTACCTCTTTCCTTAATGATAATTGTGGCTTTCCATTGTCAAACTTGGGCCACTCATACATAGAAAGACTCACACCCCATGATCTAGGGTCTTCTTCTTTTCGAAACCCGCAGCACCTGCTACGATGCTGGCCTCGTTTTCGTCACCACAACGGCAGCCCCTCCGAGTGTTGATAGACTCCTCACTTCATCTGGCTCATTATTCGACCTCCCCTGATTCTCCTTCTCCTTTATCCGAATACAGTTTAACGACATCGGGTCTGACGCCAAGTACAGGCGACCCCGAGTGGTTCATCTGCAACGTGATATGTATGTTTGACTTCGAGTCAGACGATCCAGATCATCTCTCGTTCACCCGCAATGAAATTCTCGCCGTTGTGAAGATGGAGGAATCGGGATGGTGGGCTGCTATGCGTCCTGAGGGGGACCGTCTCGGGTGGATTCCAAGCTCTTTCGTAGAGCGTCTCACAGAAACAGCCGTAGAAGAGCCATATCAGGAAGATGTCCACCCCTGGATCCATAACCCTGAAGAATGCAATGCGAGAAATTCCGAATCAGTCTCTGATTCGGAATGCATACAACTCGGGGACATATTGAGTTCTGTGTCAGATGTGACAAAGGTGAGCTGGCGAACATTCTGTGGTGGATATATCCACAATAGACCATGGCTAATACTCAATTTAGTCTTTGTTGCTACCCAGTAACCAGTTGCGTCATGAGGATTTAGGAAGGAGCAACCAAATCTATGACTCTTTCTTCAGCTTGCCCGATTATGAACCGCCACCACACGATTTAACCCGTTCCTCCTCTTCTCCTGTGCGCAGCATGCTCCAGCCCTCGGTCACTCCACCCAGTCCAGTGCTCGAAGTTTCTCCCAAACCACCCGGAAAACTCGACGACCTACAATTGTCATGCTTCAGCATCGATTCAGGGCGCTCTCTTCCATTATCGCCTTATCCCCGCCGCCCCCGCCGTTTAGCGGTGCTCGTCAATGACCACGAATCATTGTCATGCCTTTCCGCTATGATCGACGGGGAACATTCGCCTGATTTCCATTCTTTTGACAGTCCACATGTGAAAGAGACGTTTGACGTATTCAACAGGAGGTGCACGGGAAGTTGAATATCTATGATACCCAGATGCTTACCTTCCCTATCACTGTTGTATTCAGGGCCAGGTCCTTGAGTTGCTTGTATTTTTCGTCTAGACCATACGTGTAGCATATCATATTTTCCGCATAGAGCATTCATCGAGACTGGCTTATACAGAATCATCATACCAAGCTGATCATGTCCCCGACTTCTGGCTTGATGTCGGCGGCGATGAATATGTATCCTGGGAGGTTCAGCATTGAAGTAGGTTATGATTACGGCTAGTAAGGGCGGGAACAGACTAAGTCAGATGAATGGGAATTCCATACGGCATGTGTGGCATTGTACATAGAATCTAGCAATTGCAAGCTTCACTACCGTGAGCTGTTGACTGCCTGTTGAGGTCTACACTCTGCCGCGTAGCGCCAGGTGCTGCAACGCGAGCACCACGGGCTGAGGGCGGTGCAGTTAACGGAAGCTTCTTGGCTGTGCGTCAAATCAAGTTAGAGCGCAGCGGTCCCATTAAAGACCGAACGCACCAATTGCATTGAAGATGGCGTTTACACCCTCTCCTGTCTTTGCGCTCGTCTCGCTCCACAGAAGACCTTCTTCATCGGCGTATTTACTCGCTTCCTCCTCCGTAACTTGTCTGCGTGCGGAGAGATCCAATTTGTTGCCGCACAGAGCTATTACTATCGATGGGTCCGCTTGGCGTTGCAGTTCACGAATCCATGTCTTCGCCTTCTCCAAAGAAGCCGCTTGGGTGATGTCATACACGACAACTGCACAATTTGCGTTGCGATAGTACATTGGCGCCTAGGATCTTCTAAATCAGACGTAACTCCACGAAGAGGATAAAACATACAAGAGACTAGAAGGCACGCCGTATCGTTAATTCGCGTGATACGTTATATATGCAAATTTAGGAACTTACTTTGTATCGCTCTTGACCCGCTGTATCCCTGAACTATATTTGAGTTTGCGTAGATACCAGAAATTTACACGACTCACCATATTTCAAACTTAACAATCGTCTGGTCCTCCAAGGTAATTGTTTGTGTCAAGAACGCGGCTGTGTGGCCAGGAGTTCAGTGGAAGAAAATGGATTTTGAATGGTACATACCACCAATCGTACTTTCCCGGTAATCGTCAAACTGATCTTTCACAAACCTCAGGACCAAGCTGTCGCGAGTGAGCTGGAGACTTGCGCACGAGATAATAACGACGCTCCGCATTACCTAGATTTCCCGACGGCCGACTCGCCTTGAGAAGTATTATGAGCTCAGTTTTGATAGATTTTAAACTGCATTTATTTACCTAGAAGAACGAGCTTGAACTGAAACTGCTTCGACATCGTGGAGGGGTAACACAGAGTAAGTAGCACAAGCGACTTTGACCGCGAGCAACGTCGATGATCCGCATTTGGAAGATTCGATTACGTGTATTTTCTCACCCATAGCGGAAATTTTTGTTAGACGTTGACAACGGCTTCGACCCGAACCACCATCATCATCATCAGACAGCTCCTCTGTTGGTTTTCGCTTTCCGCGTATTCCTCTTGAGTTGAGACAATACTTTCAGAAGTTTATTCAGAGTTATCCTTCAGTTTTTTCTCTATCTTCCCGTACACGTGTTCCACCGGATCTTTAAGCATTCACATATCAGCTCGCTTTACCCTCCACCCTCAGTAAAAGAAAATGAACCGTCATCATCCTTACGGAGGAGTTTACGAAAATCCTGCCAACAGAAGGGGGGGCCCACCAGGGCCTGGGCCGGATAGATCTTACCATCACAGAGGTGGGGCATCTCGTGGAAGAGGATTTGGCCGTGGCCGAGGCGGCCAAGGTGGCCAAGGTGCACCGGGTGGTCACTTTGGCAATTACGATGGCGGTGTCTCCAACACTTATGATCAAGGGCCGCCTCAAGGCGATATGGGCCTCTACAATAATTACGACTCTGGCTCGCAAGACCCCTTCTACCAGAATGGCAGTGGTAATTATGGTAGTGGAATGCCCTCCACTCAGTTCAATACCCAAACCCAGTCAGATGGTTATGCCCAGGGTTATGGTAATTATGAAGGTGCGCTTGAAGCTAAGACTGAAAATGAGCCAATATAGGCAGAACTTTGGCGGCGCAGCTTCGCATGGGATGCAAATTATAGCGACAAAAAAAATTGACAGGCTTATATTGCCAACGGCGAAACCTCTCATGGAGGCATCTCAGACATTAAGACGCACTCGCGAGCTTAAGCTATTTTTTTAGCGAGAGCAGTGAAGTCGGAAGAAAAACTGCAGATGATGGAATCTGAGATCTCCCAGGGAACCTGCCGTCCGAATTTCACGATTGGGAGCTCAAATGTTTCGGCTGAGTTGGAGTTATCTCCGCCTCTCCTAATTTGCTGCGCTACGTCTATTTGTTCTGCCTTACCCTCAGCTTGATTTTCTGGCACGTTGCAAGGTCTTGATCTCACTGGTATTTGATTCTTTGTCAGACGGATCCGACGCCAATTATGACGAAGGTGGATTTGGTATGCGACCTCAGAGGCGAACTGTCCGTCGAGAACGGGATGACAAAGTCCACGATTCAATAATTGAAGAGCGAATCCAACGCGAACGTCCCTGTCGTACTTTGTTTATACGCAACATTAAGGCGAGTCAATGAGTTTGGAGGCAGCTCCACGTGTTCTGGTACGAATTTGGTTTGCTAATATTGAGCTACTTTTGTAGTATGAGACGAACAGTGAGGACGTCCGTCGTTCATTCGAAGAGCATGGAGATATCAAAACCTTTTTCGATCTCATTGCAACGCGGGGAATGGTTTTCGTGACCTTCGTAAGTTTTAAATGGAACCCCCCTCCACCATCACTAAGGCTTCGGTTCAGTACGATATTCGCGCAGCTGAGCGCGCCAGAGATCGTCTGCAGGGTTCTGAGATAAGTGGAAGACCCGTAAGCTTTCATGCACCTCACTGCGATGATCATCAATGGAATTATCGTCCCTTCAGATCGATGTTCATTATTCTCTTCCACGCGATGACCAAAAGCAAGGTGGCGATCGTGACAAGAATCAGGTTGGTAGCAATCTCGCTCATTTCTCAAATGACGACTGAATTTTGTTCAGCAATTTCAGGGTAATCTAATCGTCACACTCAAGGACTCTGTCCAGACTATCGACGATAATGAGGTCAGACGTAAATTTCAACAGTTCGGAGACGTTAAGTCGGTCACGCCTGTCGGCGATCGCGCTGAGTATGTTGGATCTTTCTCCAATCGCCTAGTTTACTGACCAGCCTATGCAGTCAGCGTTATGTTGAATTCTATGATATCAGGGTCAGTTTTGATGTATGATGGTATTATGTAATAATATTCACCGCTCTCAGGCTTGCGACGAGGCGTTCGATCGTCTCCGACACCAAGGGTTGCAAGACGGAACCATGGACATCACGTATGCATGGGAGGAGTCTGAGATTTCTGGTCCTCCTACTCAGCGGTATGTGATATCGCATGCTTTTCATCTTTGTGCTTACATGCTATGCCAGCCGCGAGCAAAAATTTGACGGTGGGCGAGACTGGGATGATGGTGGGCGCGGATTTCGAGGTCGCGGTCGTGGTCGCGGTCGCGGTGGCGGTGGCCGAGGCCGTGGCTCATTTGAGGATTGGGACCGGCGTGATGACTTTGGCAGGGATCGTGATCGCGGGCGCTTTGAAGAAGATTACAGGGGTGGTGGGCGTGGTGGTGGCGGTGGCGGCCGGGGTGGCTATGGAGACAGATTTGATTCCCGCGGTCCTTTCTCGAGCGGGCTTGGCTCGGGTTCTGGTTCGTATAACGAGCCGGCGAACGTCGTTACGTATAACCAGCCCCCACCAGCAATATCTCAGTACAACCAGCCCCCGCCGGCAGTCACTCAGTATAATCAAACCCCGCCAGCAGCCCCTCAGTATAACCAGCCTCCGCCAGTGGCCACTCAGTACCATCAACCCCCGCCATCAGCCAATCAAACTGTACGTATCTGTTTCTTACAAGTATCCCACATTGCTGATAGTTCATTAGGGCACAGGAGATCGATTGGAGCAGGCTCGCAAAGTTCAGCAACTGCTTGCAGCACTGAAACAGCCTCAGAATGGCACGGCGCCGCCTCCCACGATGCAACAGGGACCGCCAGCACCAGCACCTCCCCCAAGCTCACTTGGAATGCCCCCTCCACCCCCACACCAAAACTCATACTATGCACCACCCCCCATTCAGCAACCCGCAGCGCCTTATCCTCCTCCGCCTGGCCCCAGTGCTAACCCATATGCTCAGATGCCTTCTCAGACACCCACTCCTCAGCCAGGGCAGGTGCACACTGGAATTCCTAGTTTACCTCCAAATATCCTTGCATTATTACAACAGTCGCAGGGTCAGCAGGGTCAGGGCACTGCCCCCCAACAAATGCAATCTCAATATGGAATGCCTCCTCCGCCACCTCAGTCAATGATGTCCCCACCTCCCATGTCTAGCATGCCACCTGGTGCCCCCCAGCCAGGAACTCCGAATTACCAACAACTAATGGCCATACTTGTGAGTCCGTAAGATTCCTAATGTGTACTTATATTAACTACTTGTGATCAAGGCTTCGCAGAAAAGGTCCTAAAACTTCAATTTCTTGAACTATTGCTTGTCTGTTCTTGTGCTTATGTTACTGTTTTTCTGCGTCATTTATTTCTTTCAGGTCGATTTTTCCTTGTTGCACTTGTCGTAAGATGCCGTATAGATACGTGTTATGTTGTGTACATGCAGATTATCATTCCTCAGTGCTCAGCGGTGCCGACGGCGAACGCGTCGCATATGCCTACGTATTTGATCTATGATGTCCCTGGTTCCTGGGTATGACACTCTAAAGTAGTGCATCCAAGTGCAAACTCAGCGTTACTCCTCAATTGCTGGGTAAATTCAGACATTAGTATGTCAAAAGGCTCGTACTGATGTCCTGAATACAGGTCCGGGTCCCCCGAATGTCACTTATGCTGGGATTGCGATTTCCCGTTACGCATAACGAGTACGGCCTCACAGTTTTACGCCGCCATGGATCACAGTGTTGTTTGCAACCCACTCGTTTTCAGAGCCTCGTCCATGCAATAACATTCTAATCACCGTCTTCAATGGACAATGACGAAATAGCTCCGTTACAACCACAAGATGGCCAACCCGGTGAGTAGAAAGTAGTTACGAATAGGACTGAGAGTTGCCAATTTAAATGACCCCCTGATAGTGCTCAGACACGCTCTACTTCAGCTGCTGCCCGTGCAGTTACATTCACTTGCGCTCCCGGAACGTGACGAGTTACTTCTCGAAAGACTGCTGTATCATGAGGACGCCAACCTGATGAAGCCAACAAAGTCAATACTTGTGGCATAGACAAACACATCCCGCCACCTGCCGCAGTGTGGGAAGTTACATAATTTGATGGATAGTATTTATCGAAGTTTACTCAATTGTACCTAGCTCAGATCAACAAAGTACCCGAACTCCTTGAGCTCATTTCGATGTTTGCATCATTGCAAGATTCTTAGAACATCCCCACGGAAATGGTGCACAGAGGACGGTGCTGGACGATAAGCAAGAGAGGCCGAGGGTGCGTTTAAACATGGAGAGACAGGAGATAAAAGAAATCGGAAGACGGATGACAGAAGGTAATGAAACAAAAAGACAACGGAGAGACTCAAAACCAAGGAAGGTACTAGGAACATGCAAATAGGAATCGAGGCACAACAGGTGTAGGATAAAATACGCACAAACCCATAGGATGAACCTATGTTTAATTGTTAAGTCGTAGGGAAGTATACATGACTGCTGATGTGCAGCACACACATGGGGATGAAAGTTTTGAGGTGTACAGCTAGATAGGTACAGAGGCACATGTCTCGTCACGCACACGGTTTGTGACTGAGCTCAGCTATCTTGCCCCATGCCTAGAGTTACAAGCACGTAGACATTAGCTACCACAATCACTAACCATATCAACCACCCAACCGACATCATGAGCTTCCCGCTGCTGAAGTCCACGAAGTCCTCGGTCTGAATTATCTCCGGGTCACTATCCAAGGATGTGAGAGCAGGCAAGAAGGAAGTTTCCGCAGGAGGACCGATGTCCGTATGTTCTGGAGCCGTTTTGTGTACTCGCATGATGCGCGACGATGAGGTGAGGTATATCAGCGGGAATATGATGAATGGGAGGATTATCGACAAGATGACTTGACTTATAACAAGCAAGGAGTTGACGCCGTTTGGTCCCACGACGATGGCAACAATCATAGAAGGTATCAGTCCTAGCATACGCGTTAGAAGGCGGCGTACAACAGGCTGTCGTATCAGTGAGTGATGATTCTCGTCATAACAAAGGATAGAGCTGACCGAGACTTTCCAGTTCAGGAATCCTTCTGAAACGCTTTGCCCTGCTACAGTGGCGACAAGAGAAGCACTTTGGCCCGATGCAAGTAAAGCGAGCGCAAAGAGTAACGCGGCAGCTATTTCCAGGGATTTGTGAAGCTTACAGGACCCGAAGGATGTGACATACCTTGGCCAATCGTGTTGTTTATCAGAGTGTGGGCATCGAATAAGCTAGCTGGAGATTCAGATCCACGTGCTCCTGATCCGTAATAGAAGACTGCACTGGCGAGGATTAGTATACTGTAAAGTAGTTGTTAGCCACAATGGTAGCAAGCAATGTTAGAGGCTCACAGGGCATTGATTATGACGGCGAAGCCTAGCAGACTGGATACCACATCGACCATGGCGTGGTACAGATGGGAACGTACAAACTCTAAGGGATTATTCTCTCTATGTTTATGAGACTTTGGACGGGCATTCAACGCCTCTAACTCGGCGCGAGATACTACAAACCACGACCGGAGTTGTCGCCAGATTGCTTGTCCTAAGTGTTGTAGTAAGCGCTCGCGCCTTGGTGCGACCTCTATTGGCTCTAGTTCTTGCACTTTGTCGGAAAGCGGAGAATCTGGGACAAGCGGATTTTTGCATAGTCTATCTTGGGTTGCTAGATGTGAACCCAAGAATAGACTATGGGGCATGACAGTAGCACCCAGAATCCCAACGGCTACAACGAAGCCATGTCAACTCTTATCCGCACACTTGCATTTTATGACGTACATGTATAGAGAGCGCCGCTAGCAAAAATTGTCTGAGAAGGAACGAATCCATCGAAGGCTTGACCCCAGGCGACATTAATCTTCCCGATAATCACTGCCATGCATATCAGCACAGCAAACACCTAGACTCGTCTCATTAAACCAAACGAGGTATGGTATACACGTGTATGAGGGCTTACAAGCACAGCGATGATCCATTCAAATACTTTCGCTGGCCTAGCATGAAGAGGGTTTCCAAGGCCAAGTACCAATAAGACATCGGCGCCTGTTACCAGAACACCAGCCCAGAGTGGAAGCGCTGGAAAGAGAAGAGAGAGTGCTATTGCGGAGCCAAGGAGCTCAGCAAGATCGGTGCTGACGATGGCTAATTCGGAGAGCACGTAAAGCGGGTAAAGGACTCCCCATCGCCAAAGTTTCTTATGACGTGGTCGATCGTAAAAGAGCATGCGGCAATGGGATGCGAGGTCTGAAAATGACGAGTCAATAAACATGTCTATCTTCCAGGAGAACTGACATGGAGAAGTATTTACCAAGGCCAGTGACCACTCCAAGCCGACAGGCAAGAACCTGTGAAATTTGCGGTAAGTCGCTTGCACGAGCGCTACGTCAAATATCCTACTCACTTGAAGAAATGCAGCGAACAAGCCTGACAAAAGTACAATGAAGAGAAGGCTATACCCGTATTGAGATCCTGCCTGGAGATCGACTCCCCAATTGCCACTTCGATCCAGCTTCAGTGAGATCGTGCCAGTTACCCGATCAGTAGAATGACTTACGGGTCAAAGTATGCAACGGAGCACACGATGCCTACGCCTGTGTGTTTCTGTGCGTGACGAAATACTGTCCATCCTGCATTATGCAGACGATCTATCCAGTTAGTACTAGTCGTGGTCCCGTCCACAGGTGGAAGATCGAGGTTGGTTTGACTCGGAGCAGTCGTCATGAAGGTAGGACAATTGGGAGCATAGACTACGGAGTCGAGTCCTTGGGCACACGGTGCTTGAACGTGCCGCGGTAGTCACGGAAAGTGATGAGAATATAGGAAAGATTTGAGTCACTTTATTAATATTATCATATGTCATTATATAGGGTCACAGCGTGGCAAATTCAAGTCTGGTTCAATGGATTTCAAGAGTTGGCCATTGGCTGTTCAAATGCTTGGGAAGTTTCGTGTACCGTAGCGGTCAAAGCCCTTGATGAATTTATTCATAGCTGTGTAGTGTGTCCCATATGTATATAAACCATGGTTAGGCGCCGATAGAAGTTCATAGAATCCCGTGTCATAAGACAAACTCCGACGTAGCCAAGGCTTGGCCAAGGCTCCCAAGGGTCAGCCTAAATCCGATTCCAAGTCATCCGTTTCAAGAAGGCAACTTGCATAGGCCTGAACACGTCATTACTTGTGAGCGCATCGAAGGCCCTGAAATTGTAATTACTGACGTCTAGTTCTGCTTGGCTGAGCAACCCTGGCTTGTGTGTATGTTCTCTTGGAGGAAGTGCATCATTGGATGTCTGTGGAAGCCTGCTAGAGGAACCGCTAGGTATGACAGCGGCTTGTCGCGACGTAGATGTGTTCGACTTCAATGGGATTGGCTTAGCCACGTCATACTATGCGACCAGCTTGCCAGTTACCTTGACTGGCTCAGGTACCGTCCCTGACGTCCTTGGCTTCTTTTTCAAGTCACGGGTTAGCTGCTCCCAATCCCGTTCCGGCAGCTCTGGTTGTAGAGTACCATCGTTAGCTAATCGGTCGGCGCACTCGTTGCCTTCGATTCCAACGTGACCTCTGACATGCTTGAACACGACTTTTGGTCCTGCCTGTTCCCGGACATATAGCAATGCCGCCAAGTACCTGATCAGCTCGGCGTTCTTGACGGACTGGCCGTTGGCCGTTCGAAAGCCGTTTGCGCTCCACTTTGGAAGCCAGGATCCAAAGCCTGCAATAGGATGAGAGGGATACAACACATAGATCAACATGTCATACATTGTATGGAGTACATTGAGTCTGTTTTTATCATGATAGGACGCTGAGAGAATGGCGCGGTCTCCAATGTCCGAACGATTGCCTGCAAAATCGTTGCGAGTAAGCGAAGTATCTTGTCAAACATGTTGGATATGACTTGCAATGAGCTCCGCCCTATTATTTGTTTGGTCTCCAGGACATCGTTCGGCGATATTTCTGAAGTAACGATGAGTGTCATGTGTCATTGCCCAGATGGTATTTCTCACCTAGGATCGTTCCAACCCCACCACACACCCACACCCGCAACCGAACCAACTTGTCCGTTTCCTTTACATGCACCATCAGAATAAACAACATCATAGCCAGGCTCTTCTTCTTTGAGGTTCGCGACAGCAGCAGCAGAAGGGCGGAATGTCGACGATGTTGACGCCACACTCCGTGGCGGACTTATGGTAGGAGACAATACCGCAGACGAGGACAGTCTTGAAGGAGGGTTGAGATGTGACTCTGTGGTCATAAATGCAAGGGCTTCCGTCTCGGTGGCGAGCTTCTTGTAGACAGCACCATGAAAGTTTTTCACTTGGGTCTCGCATTCTTCCCTTTAGGAAGAAAGCTGAGCACAGGATGAGCATATCGTGCAGTCTACTGACCATGTTGGGTATACACCCGGCGTGCGTCCTTTGCGCACGGCATAATATGCTTTTTTCTGAGCTTTAGGCATACTGTTGGTTGGGGCACTGTTGCAAGACTGGCCCGGGGAGCCAGTAGTATTGAAGGGTCTCGATTTTGTAAGCAGAATGGGTTTTATCGAAGACGGTCCAACTCCGCACACTCTGAATGGAAGGATCTTGGCCAGGATTGGTGAATTGATTGAACCCCAGATTGAACCATTCGACGTTGACTCGTTGATCAGGAAGCCGCGGTGCGCGTTTTCGGTGTTGCACCTAGACTAAGGTTAGGGTTTGGCGCTCCTGACACCATGTTGCTTCAAGCTCCTTAACAGCTGCAACGAACGATAATAATCCGTGTCAAAAATCACACCAAACCCGCAAGCTGCAGGATAAATCTTTTGTGCTGATTCTCGTAGAGTATCATGTGTACATACAGATCTGAACACACGAGCTATTTCGAAAAGACCCATAATTTAATGAACTACCATTATATTACAAGTTGAAGTTGACGCTGAGCTCATACACCTTGTCCCATAACTAAAGTTGCAAGCACATGAACAACATTAGCTACCACGTTAACAAGCTGTATGTATCAGACACCTAGGTGACTCATCATGAGCTGCTGAAATTCACACAGTCCTATATCTGAAGTATCTCCGGGTCACAGTGCACCGCAGGGAAGAAGCTGTCGATTGGGTTAGCATCCTTGCAGCTTTAAAATGGTTTGCGCACTCACACGCAACGACAAGGTGAAGTATATCAACGGGAACAAGATGAATGGGGGGACTATTGATAAGATGACTTGACTCGTGATAAGCAAGAGACTATCACCACTTGGTCCGTAGTGAATGGCGGCGTTGGCTAGGATTAGAATACTTTAGAAGAGTGTTGTCTTCGATGGTAGTGCACTGATTATGACGGTGAGACCTAGAAGACTTCAGACCACATGTTATGGTATGCATGAATCTTGAGATATTATTTCCCCAATGTTCATGAGACCTCGGACGGGCATTAAATTCTTCTTACTGGACCCCCAAGTGCCGTAGACGCTCGTGTACTGATACGATCCCTGCTCTGGACCCTCGGAGAGACAGGGGCCCGTGCAAATGATTTTTTTGGATAGCCTATCTTGGGTTGCGAGATATGGACCCAAGAATAGCCTAAGACATGACAGTAACGCCCAGCGCTCCAATGCGGCTACGATGTCAAAGTCGTGTCAGCATTTATGCGATACAGGTACAAAGCGCAACATTGACAAATAACGAATTCATCGAAGGCTTCACCCAAGACGATATCGAGGTTCGTGATCAATGCAGATGGGCACAGCAAGTACCTAGATTTGCCCCATGAAATACTATGCAGTGCGCAAGCTTACAAATGCAGTGATGATCCATTCTGAGAGCCTTCATTGATCTATCGCGAAAAGGGTTGCTAGGGCAAGTACCAATCAGGCATCAGCTCCAATTATCAGAACACAAGCCTAGAGTGGAAGCACTGGAAAAGAAGATAGAGACCTGCTGCAGATCCGAGGAGCTCACTAGTAAGATCGGTGCTCATGATGGCGACTTCGGAGAGCACGTAAAGTGGGCACAGGACTAGAGTTTCGTATGGCGTTGTCGATATCTGCAGAAATTATGAGTTGATTATCAAGCATGTACGGAGAAGCTGACATAGAGGAATCTGTACCACGACCAGTGACCACACAGAACCGATAGGTAGGAACCTGTGGAAAAATCGCTGTAAGTCCCTCGAGCATCGACGTTGTACATCAATGATATATGAAACGATTGTGCTCAAGTGGACGCAGGCTCGCACGACAACAGAGCCCAGAGTAATGATTCATGAAATAATTCTTACACGTCAAGTCATGTTATGAAGCGGCGTATGCATTCGATGTCCCCCGATAAGATGTGAATTTCTGTCAAGCGCTTCCAGACTCCCACGTTGGTGAAGGAGGAGAACAGGATGGACCTGTAAGCTCCTGTCATCTGACAAAAAACGGATGGGGTTCAAACAGTACTTGAAACCATTCGTTTTGAGATCGGGAAGCGAGGCCGAGCTGGTATGCTCCGTGCCAATCAAGCCTGAGTACTAGTGTGCATGTGGGGGAGTTGGTGCGTCACCGCAGGTCGCCGTGCGTGAGCACCGTGGGTCTATAGCTGTCTGGCATAGATCGCTTTATCCGGGTCATATGAATCATTTCTTTGTGCCGCAATAGGCAGTTGCCCGAATTATTTCCCTCTCATACTGCAACGGGTTTCTTCCGAATGGGGACAATGCCATTGCCTATTTCGGTTGCTACCTTGTATTTTGCGGCAGTCCAGGTATAGGTCTCCTTCTCCTTGAACATCCCTGCTTTGGTATATAATAGCTATGCGTGCGTTCTTACTTGTATCAACACGACCAGTTTGGTCCAATAACCTTATAACGACCTCAAGAAGACCTTCTTCAAAGCAACGATTGTTTAACGCATACGTTCTTGAACAAACCGCCGTTGACATCGATCGAGGGTCTACCATCTGTGCACTGTGACATATTTGCAAAGCAGATCTCTCGCATAACCATCCGCGTCGTCACAGGCAGACCAATCATTTTCCGTGCTATAATATCACAATCACGCACATAATGTCTCGCTATAACAACTACACCACTCCCCCCAGATCACCAACCTTCGGCATCTTCCCCACTGCACCCTCTGCCCCACACGCGTTCTCTGCTATGCAGGGGAACCCGCGTGACTCACATAACATGTACTCGGCCCTGGGCTCATCCATGGGCTTCCAATCCAGTAGCCAACCCAGGCAGAGCAATGGCGGGAGCTCGAACCCGCTGATGAAGTTCTACAGAAAGTGATACTTTCTCATCGTCATGATTGTCAACTGTATACATCTCGAAGGGTCACATGTACCCAAAACCATTGTATCGATAGCATTGGAGCAAGACGGTTATTGTTTTATGGGCAAGGAGATGAGGGACGGAGCGCGCAAAAATAGGTACTTGCAGTGCAGGATCACCCACTTCGTTCAATTATAACACTTATTTCTCCTTGGAATCCTTGTATCACCTCGTACGTACGCATAGAACGCACATATTGTATCTCTATTGTTTCATCCTGCATGCTATGAATTTATCCCTCCCCTATCATTCTAAAGTTGAGACAATAATGCAACGATCGTCGACTGCCGGCGATTCAGATTCAAAAGCGGCATTTTAAACAACGGACCGGCAAACGCCGCTAGTCAACGCAGAGCAGATCACAATTTCACCCCAACTTCAAAATAGTCTTCACTTCTAGAGACAGCGACCTCCATCATGGCACCCTCGAGAGCACCAATATCACAAGAAAGTAATGTCAACAACGTATACGCGCTCTCATTACTTTCAGAGTACACTCACACTCTTGACTCCCTCCCACTCGACCTCTCTCGTAACTTTGCAGACCTCCGTGAACTCGACGCAGTGTTGTCGTCCTCTATGACATCTATCACCGCAAAGATACAAAACTTGACACAGATGATCGAAGATGGCACAGTGGCAAAGCAGGACCGTCTTTTCCTACTCACAGATATAGCAGAGGAAGCTACCCGTTTGAAACTGGGCGGCGAAGACAAGATTCGTGTGGCTTGTCAAGCCGCTGACAACCTCAAAAGCCACACTTCACATATGAGAACACTCCTTACTCTCTTACCTTCATTCGATGTGTCCGCATTGAACCGCAAGACATCTTACCCCCATGTTGCTGTTCGGTCATACATGCCCACCATCGATAACTCGCGTCGCAGAAGAGGCAATTATGGATCGATCATGAATACTGCAAATCATGAAGCCAGCCCTTCCAAACGAAAACGAGCAACGAGAGAAGATGACGTAGATGTCGGAGGCGGCAAGTCGCCGCGCAAGGAGAGGACTGGGGATGGCATTGCCCAGCGATCTCGAAATGGTGTTCGTTCACGAAAGTAAGTCATTTTTCGGTATATGAATTCGTCGTGTTTAGATGTCGCTTTAGGCAAGAACGTGCTGTCTCTCCCACAGAATCCGTTCTTTCTGTCATCTCGCACACTGTAGCACCAGTATCTCAAACCTATACAGGGAACTCAAGAGCTGGTGGTTCATCGAGTCGCGCTACCAATCCCTCCGGTAGACGCTCCAAGCCAAACCCTAACACATATGACGAGCCGCATGTCAATGGATCTGTCAATGGCCGACGTGACATCTGCCCCGCACCACCTTCATCAATCTCTCACCCTTCGTTACCTATACCTTACGGATCGACTGGTCTACACTCTTATGATATGCCTGGTGCTCACACACTTGCCAATGACTGGGGAGTTCCTCCTCTTGGGCAACTTGAAGGTCCAGGCATGCCTGTAGCACGGAACACACACCCCGGTCTATCGATCAGTTCTGCTACCGTCCTAACCCATAGTCTCCCGCTCGTATCCCCAAGTGAAACTCAAGCTGGTAACGCCGCAGACACGGCTACCGAAGTTGGCGAGGGTGATGGAGAGGGAGATGATAGGACTTATTGCTTCTGCGAGGGCATAAGCTATGGAGAAATGATCGCATGCGACGACGTGAATTGTGAAAGAGAATGGGTGCGTCACATCTCTCTTTGTTTTGACACGGTATATTCATCAACTCTGCAGTTTCATCTTGCATGCATTGGCCTCACGGTGCCTCCAGACGGAACATGGTTCTGCGAAGCTTGCAGGCAGAAGAAAAATGCGAAACGTGGGTCGAGGGCAAACAAGAAGCGTTCGGGCGGCGGAGGCGGCGGCACGCGGTCAGGGGGCAAAGCTGCTAACAACGGATAACGAGTTTTTGGTTTGTTCTTCCACCGGTGCCCACTTCACCCCTGGCTTGGTCATTTATGTTTGCTGTCTATAATTAGCTCCACCATCTTACGCAAATCACAGACTTAAACTTCGAGGCTAGAGGTGCCGGTGATGTCTTTGTCAGGACGTCCCTAGTTGAATGAACTCAGATCAAGTCGCGATTATTAATCATTGGGTATTTCCGACTCCCGAGGGCGTGGCCCCTGACTCAGCTGCTGACAGTGCTGACACACTGACATTAACAAGACAAAGGATTTCATCATTCCGGATGTCTCGCTGTTCAGTTGACGGAGTGCACACGCACACCAGTTCAGGATATAAATTCACCACCAAAAATATTCTATCTCTTCAACTCGCATCGCAATTCTTTGCCGTCATCAATTTAAAACCAACAAAGGGGACCGCCTTTTTCCGGGACTAGCAGACTTCTCATCTGTTCTACCACCACAGCAGAATCTATTTGTTTCTTCCTTCTGGATCTCCGTCGAAACTCTCAGGTCTAACTTAGGGTGTCACTGACAGATGTCATCATACGCCATAACAGGGGCAGCTCGGGGGATTGGCGTGCGTGCAGCTTGATTGGGCCATGATACTACGTTTCTGACGCCTTCTGATTTTGACCAGTTTGAATTTGTCAACCAACTCTCTGCTGATTCGAGGAACACCATTTTCGCCCTTGTACGCAGTGAGGCCACTGCGAGCAAGCTTACGGACCTAGGAAGGCATAATATCCATATTATCCAGGCTGATATCACTGACAACAAGGCTCTGAAGGTGGGTGGGGTATCTGACAACTCTGGTAGGGTCTCGATTGACGCTTTGTCTAGTATGCTGCTGCAGAGATTTCTCGGTCAACAGGCAACTCGCTCGACTACTTGATTAATAACGCTGGCTTCGTAGAGTCTGAGAGAGCTGGTTTGACTCTCGATTCTTAGTATGGTTTTTTTGATTACTTTGTCTTGGAATGGTACTGAGTGCCATTTAGCTCCTCAGAAGAGTCGCTTACCAAGGATCTCCTGGATTCGGTATGCAGCTCTCCGCATGCGAAGACAGTAAAGCTAATGTACCTCTGTAGTTCAACATCAACGTCGTCGGTGTCATTAACACCATCAACATATTCCTTCCGCTACTCAAGAACGGGAAAGCAAAGAAGGTCATCACTATCACTAGCGGATTGGGAGATCTTGATGCGACGATGGTCGCTGAACTCTCCACCTCTGCGCCATACTCCATCTCGAAAGCCGCGGTTAATATGGTGAATGCCAAATATGCCGCTCAATACAAGCCAGAGGGCTTTGTCTTCTTGGCGCTTAGCCCAGGACTTGTGGACACTAGCACCAGGGCCCGTATGTTTTCGCAGTATCCTCTAAGTTACCCGAAGCTGATCACTGCTAATATTAGCCACTGACAAGGAACTGCAAGAGTTTATGGCAATGATTGGGAAATTCAAAAAGCTCTCCCCCGATTTCACGGGGCCGATTACGCCAGAAACATCTGTCCGAATGCAGCTTGAGGTCATCAATTTGATCACCGTCAATGACACGGGCGCATTCATCTCACATAAAGGGAACAAGGAATGGTTGTAAGTTGGGAAATTTGATAGGCTCCAGTTTTGTACTATAAATTATACAAACGATCCGCTCGCCTGCAGACGGCTCAGTCGTGTATATGGTCATCCTCTTGGAATGCTTTACAACATCAATGAAGAGTGAACTACGTTCCCCGGTTCTCTTCAATCGTCCCTGAAAACCACATGCGAATGACGCGCCGATTTCGCACTCTGGACAGCGCTGTGTAGAGTTGACCGTGCGCGAATGCATGTATACGGAGGTTGAGTACAGCACATGGGAGTATGAATCTTTGGACAATTGGTGAACGTCATCGCATGTGCAAGGTCGTGGAAATTGTTTGTGGTTGATGGTCCAACTCGAGCGCATGGGATTAAAAGTGATGCGATGGAGACAGTGCACTTCGCAGTGTCTGTGGTATCTGCACTTCGACAAACCGTTGGTGCAGAGCAGTGACGGATTTCGTAATAACCCCTTCTCCAATGACATATTTCGTTGCACTGCGCATATCGCGTTGTCCTTCAGGTCTAGGCGATGCAGAGGTGTATTCAGAGGTGTGGGGCGCACCAGCTCAGGGCGCTTGATCTGCTTAATACGTTTCAGCTGGAGTAAGATCCTGTTTTTGTTCGAATTAGTGCGCGAACGGGCATGATAACAAACTCACCAGTCTTCCAGCAGTGCTTCGAGAATGATGTCGTCGAATTCGTCGACGAACATGTAGCGTGATGATAGGAAGGCACGTTGGATACACTCATCGGGATCTTCGAGAACGTGAGGAGTCTACTGCGTCGTTGACTCATCTGTTACCTTGTAGATGATGTCGAGTGAACGACGTGCGCCGGACGTGTCGCCTACGATTTCATCAAATGTCAACGCGAATTGGTTCCGGGAGTTTCGCTCCGTATGTAGAAGTCACTTAATGTCACTCGTCTTCGAATTCCATCTTCGGCTTACAACTAATGTCAACAACAAACTCCACGTCAGCATTAACAGCATGCACAATGTCAAGAGTGAGATACAATAATGAGAGCGTATACATATGTGCGCATCTCAGCGCCTTTTAGATCCTCGAGTGTCATCCAAACCTGGTGAAAGGCGCCGCTTCCTGCAAGGGATTATGAGCGTTGAGGTTATGAATGAATGCAAGTCCACTCACCGGCCAAGGCGGTCTTCTGGCTCCCCTGACGGCGTCCTTCCTCCGACGTCCTTTATCGTGCCTCCATAGTCAAGACCTTCAACTGCAGGTGCATTGTTATCTCTGTCTTTATACCTGTTCTGGTTACGGGGACCGGTTGGCACGCCGGGCGGTAACGGCGAGGCTGGGCGGACAGGTCCTACTGGAGCTACAATGATAGTTAATACACCGGGAATAACCGTATCAGACAATCCCACCTCCGCCATATCCTCCTCGTCCCCGTCCAGCAAAGCCTCCCCTCCCGCGTAGGCCTTGAGCCATTGCACGACCTCTGAATTGTGCCGGGGGTGCCCCACGGCCCATGTGCGCAGGCGCTGTAGGAGCTGGTGTAGGCACCGGCGTCTGCACAGGGACTGGAGCTGGTGTCGCACTGCTCTCCATGTTGGGATACATAGGCTGTCCCATCGGCCCTTGCTCCTGCTTAGAAAAACAAACACATTCATGCGATGTTCATATCATTGGCTGTACGTATCTAGAGTAAGAAGGGTTAACCCATACCTGCATACCAAAGTCACCACCCATGCCCATCATTCCCGGCCCGAAGCCATCCTGCATGCCCATCTGCACACCCTGCTCTGGCGTGCCGTTCTGCCCTACCGGACCCTGGCCGGAGACGGGGCCATCTGGCATCAATGGGCCCCCCGGCTGCATCTGCATGCCCATATCACCATTCATGCCCATGCCCATCGGTCCCATGTTCATAGGTCCCATGCCAGGCATCTCCATCATGGGATTCATCCCGACGCTTGGTCCCATCATACCCTGGCTGGCAGTGTTCATCATGGCGTTGGCGCCCGTCATGACCATCGTACGGAGTTCAGGGGGTAAGGCTATTAGCTGGTCTTCTGGCATAGCTGCGAAATTCTAAGGGGGAAAGTAAGGACTATGGATCAAACGAATCACTACATAGCGTACGAGTACGTTAGTCTTGAGGACATTTGCAAGTTCGCCCAAGTCCCGTCTTCTGTAGCAGTATGCTTCCCAAGAGATTTCATCGAATCCATAGTTGAACCAGTCGCTGATATCAGCCCCAGGAAGTCGCCACTGCTTTTCTGCCATTGCGCTGATGTCAACTTCAAGTATCGAGTGGCCATCAAGGATGCCAGGCATATCCGGATTTATAGAAGGATGTGAAGGTGGTGCGATAGCAGGAGGAAGAGTTGAAGGGTCCAGACCTTCATGAAACACCAGCTGTTCTGGTGCAGTAGAGACCGACTCTCGAGGCACGGAGGGTGTTTGAGATGTGCCTGCTGAATGAACAGGAGGTGCTTTTGAAGGTGGTACATTTCTGTCACGAGGTGTGTACTCGGTGGTTAACTGTGAGTGTGTGGGAGGCGCTTTGGGAGGCGTCAATTTTCACAAGAGAAGAGACGAATGAATAAACGAACGTCTGCTGGGAGTGGACTGCGGACCACCTGTGGAACGGTTTAAAGCGGGAGCGCGAGGAGGAACATTTGGCCTGAAACAAGTTGAGGGTGAAGCGACTCAATCCAACGTGGAACTCACCGGTTGTCTATAGACCGTATAGGTTGGTCCATGATGATCTCAATGTCCTGAAGGGCCGTTAGTTGTTAGAGTCCGGCAGATTCATGCTTCACGTACATCTTCGTCACTAGACTCTTCCTCCCCTGCAGCATTATCATCCCCAGTTTCAGACTCGTCCGCACCCAGACCAAAGGGCGGTTCTTCTTCTTCTTCTTCGGCCTTGGCTTCGAGGTCCTTGACCACGCCATTTGAAACTGTCTTCACAGCTTCAAATGATATTCTGCAACAAGGAGAATTCAACAACGACAGTTTCACGCACTGTTGATGACTTACGCTTGTACCACTAATCGCACATCAGGCAACAAAAGATGAGTTCATGTTGCACGATAAATACAGAAAGTAGAGACTCTGGGAAGAGTCTCAGTTGTTCTCACCAGAATTTGTTGCTAAATCTGCCTTTGGCGCCTCTGCTTGAAAACTGGGCTCGCCATACAGGAATGCATCGTCGTCGTCCCTAGCGAGGTGCATGTTAATTATTTGCTTGCAGCCTCATGGGATGAACTAACATTACAACGATTTTAGCAACCTCTCAAAGGCCCAAAAAGTTAACGACCTCGAAGTCAAAGAGAACACCGCTTGAGATCGTGACTTTGTGACAAGATGAGTCACGCGCTGTGCCTTATAGCCACGTGACTGCAAGAACTACAAAATATTCAAGTCTGCTTCGACTGAATCTACTCCAGATCCAGACGGACGTTAGCCATGATTTGCGTGAAGCCCATTGTTTCTTCATCAATACCGCAAATGGCTCGAGGATACGTCGTGTCCGTAAAGCCTCCTCGCGTCTACGAGGCCAAACCGACACCGCGTCGCTACGGTGTGCAGAAAACATTTCTATACAACCAATACACTCGCATGCTTGAAGCTAGCGATAATTCCCCCATAATATTCCTCCAACATACAAATTTCGCAGCTCAGCGGCTACAGAAGCTGAGACGGGATATAGCCGATGCAAACACCAAGTTTTCGGTCTCATTATCCTCTGCGACACCTTCTCTAGTTGAAATCGGTGCTCCTACGCTAGCCGTGATGCGGACCTCACTCTTTGGCGTTGCATTACGAGACTTTGCGGCTTTTGACGCGGAACAGGCAGCTCAAATTGCAGGACTGCTTAAAGGCGGTCTTGCTGTCCTAACGCTACCATCATTTAACCCTCCCCAACTTGACGCCATCCTCCGTGCTCTAGATCGCTCAGTGCCTTCCAAGAAACCAGGGGTGGCACAGCCAACACCGATAAAACCTCAAGATGACCCAAATTTTATTCCTGGCAGAAAGATGCAGAGGGTGAAACCCATCTTGACCCCGGAACTGGTGGTGATGGGTGCTCTTATCGAGAGGCGGGTATTTGGAATGGATAGTGTGCGGGATGTATCGAAACTGCCAACCCTAGACACCCTGCGGGCGCAGATAGTTGGGTTGTTGAGCTCACCAGCTGTACAGTTAGCTGCAATTCTCAGTGAGGCAAGCGGAGGAAAACTTGCGAGAACACTGGAAGGTTTGAAGAAGGGTCTGGAAGAGAGTCAAAGTGCGGAAGCTTCATCATAGCATCTACTCAATCGTTGCTGCACCTTCATTTGTCGGATGGCCTTCATAGTTCACATGCACACCACGCACTTTCATAGAAGAAGGTTAATATCAGTCTTTGAGGCAAAACTCCCACGTCCGATCCTCTCCTCCCTCGCCTGTTGTACCCCGACCATGAGCTCTTTCGCCTTTTGTCATGCGGTGTTCGTACCCCTTCCACATCTTCCTGTGAAATACAAACGAACGCAGAAGCTTATAATTTGGGTTCGGCGGAGTTCCTAACGATGCAGGTTTCGGAGGTGTCTTTGCCAATCTTGGCACGTCCCTACAGGTGAACATAAGCAGCAACCAATTAACGATATGAAAAGTGCACTTGCCAGTTGGTGTATGGTGGAACGTTGCGCAGGGTGATGAGCACTGTTCCCCTCGCACCCTGCGTTGTAGAAGGCGATGGGGCATCTATATCTTCATCGTCATTCATGTTGTCATCGTCATCGTCATCCGCAGGTTTCCTCGGTTTTTGTGACAGATTACGCGTTGGAATGGTGCCTTCTGCAAGGCAGCTAACAACAGAACGGAGGAACCCCAGGATAAGCATCTGGTTAGATAGTATATTTCTGTCTTGGTCTGTTATACCCTTTCCTTCACGATGTCTCCTCAGTCACGGTATTTCGTTTATACGATCTCAACAAAACATACCTGCATGAGGAAAATTGAACACGACACGATCAAACAGCCTCTTTTTCAAAGCATTACACTTTTCGAGTCTGGTCCCATCTACACCAAAGAGAACCTCGGCACCACGCTCCAGGAGAACACCCACCTTACTTTTCGCATCAGGATATTTATCATAACATTCCTCCTCGGAATCATAAGAAGTCGCCGTGATATTCGATGGTGGGAGATGTTCTAGTGACAGAGGAGGATCGATGACCAGGGCATGCGCGAACGAGAAATTGCCCTCGCCGATCAAAAGTATTTTATCGGTAGGCGTGAACGGGATGGTAGGTCGGAGAGCTGGCGCTTTCCCCTTGCCTTTATGCTTCGTCTTGAGTTCTGCAGCTTCAGCGGCATGCGCGGCTTTCTCTTTATTCTTGAGCCGAATCTGCTGGGATTGCAACGTTGTTTTTAAGGATGTTTTCTTTTTGTGCCCCATGACTCTGTTAGTCAAAGTATGAAAATAGAATCAGCTATGAAATATCAGAGGCACTGGCCGGCTCTGTCTTGCGCAAGGTTTGTACCGCCGGGCCGGGTCGACCCTTCCTTCCATCCACCCAAAAAATAATTGTGCAAACATCTTTTATACAATGACCCTATGGGTATACCTGGACCCGACATTTCTCAAACCCAAACCCATCCTTCATCGATCAATCATACCCTTGGGATACAAAATAGCGCGTGAATACAATTCAAAATTGTAAGATCGAGGTAGCGTATGCTTGGGCAAGCATTCATTTTGCAAAAGAATAAGGAGAAATTTGGATAGTGTTTTTTTTGCTCTTTTTTTCTTAAAAAGCGGAACAGAGATGAGGTCGGCAGCATGAACATTGTACGCACAGACTGCACATGCACCATGTTTCTGGTTAGCAAGCGACATCTTATCCTGCCATTCAGCAATGGTTTTCATCTTTTCAGCCTTCGTGCAAATCGTGGGGAACTGGAAATCGTCCTCCATGGGAACATCAGAGTCAAAGTCATGTCGATGGGCTGCAGAGTCTTGTTGGCAAGTAGCGATGTGCTCCATGTCAGGACATAGTGCTGCTGCGGTCCGGTTCCGAACCACGGTTCGAACCGGACTTTTGGTCCAGTTCTGGACAGTTCTGTTGTCAGCCCGAACCGGACCGGAAATCGGTTCTTGGTTGGTCCTGCTGAACCGTTCTATTTTGGTTCGCCCTTGCCAAACCGTTCTGAACCCTTCTCAACTCTGACTTCGACATTGACCAAACTTCGAGATTTGCACTCTACCCTTCTGCCTTTAGCCCTTTTGAAGGTATGTACTAACTAATCCAAATTTTGATTCTCTCACACACTAACATTTGTTCAAATATGTCACAGATATATGTTTCCTTGAGTCTGCACAACAATTATGATCCTCCAACTCTTTGCTTCGAACAATCTCCTCGGATTCCAATGTTCTGGGATGCGCAGGAGTTTTCTCCCTGTTCTACATATAAAAAAAGATGATGGCAGCAAAATTGTGAGTTGTCTTGTTGAAAATGTCCTGCGCTCTCAATCCTGATGGCTCCCTCAAGGATGCATCTGACATCAAGTTTTACAACGATCCTGACGACGATATACCCTTGCCCAATGTCCCATCATCAAGCAACACTTTCCCTGTTCTACTCAAGGCTGGATGCACCCTAGCCATTGTTGTAGCTGGTTCTCGGCACTCTGGCCGCCCTTCAAAGCCGTTGGCTCACATTCGTGATGCTGACAATGCCTGCGGGCTGTCAGCATCAGGCTCCAGCACAAGGAAATGTACTTTGTCAAGCGCTACAGACCCTCCAGTGCCCATCAAAAAAGCCACTATGCTCCGAGTGTGCTTTCTCTAGTGGGGGTATCACGTCAACCCTGTGCTGCAATTCTCTGGCACCTTCCACCTTCTCTGCACTACAGCTAATGAAGGCCGCTTACCGGAATGGACATCTTTCAGCGGCTACGGAGGCAGAGGAGTATGTAGCTTAGACTAGTCACTCAATGTGTAGACTAGTATTTCGTTTATTATAATGTTTTTTTTATGCTCCCCGCAGAAAATTTTGAGTCCAGTTTGGGTTCGGACCCCAAAAAAACTGAACTGGACCATGGAGAACTGTTCTCTATGGTCCGGTTCTTGGTTCTCATCTAGGACCCTCCGAACCGGACTGAACCACGGCAGCACTATCAGGACAAGTGGCATGGGATGGAGCCTTCGCAACAGCACAAGTCTGTTTGCTCATTTGTGAAAAGGGTTCAGGAAGATGTTCCGGATCAAAATGACGTCGTGCATGCAACAAATGCTTGAAGATGAAGAGTAGATCGCCGCAATGATCATTACATGTGTGAACATGGAGGAGGTCATGAAAATAATTGTGCATATCAGAAACTTTGACAGACAGTGTATGAGCATGGGTCAAATCATCAAAATGGGCATGAGTCATCATAGGAAAGTTATCAATGACATGACGGACTGTCGGGGCTGACACCATCAAGAATACTCCAGCTGGGTACTGCTGAGAAGTGGCAAACCATGTTCTCGATACTCCTTGATACTCAATCAACCTCCAGAGCAAAAAGGAAGAGACGACAGAAACACCATCATCAATGATATGGTAATCTGTGATAACAAGAGAATCAGGAGGAACAAGAGTTCATGCACAGAGCGCACGGCAGTTGATGAAGATACAGCCATGTGAGATCGTGGTGAAAGTCAGGAGAACATAAGACCTCTCAATGAAAAGACAGATAGAGAGAGAGCGCGAGAATTTGTTGACCGAAACAAGCAATCTGAGCGGACCGTGAGTGGGCCGGTATTGATCATTGGACAGAGGATTTTTTTCGATAGACCTGTACCATAGACAGGTCCAGGAATACATCAACCCTACGGGTACACCTGGACCTGTTATTTCTCAAATGCCATGCTCTTTCTTACAGCTGTGTGCAAAAACCATGACAGTACTGTAGAGATACGCACTTAAGTTCATCACACCATCACAGGCCCAGGGAATCGAACCTATTTTGTGTGACAGTCACACCCATATTGAGGTCATCAAACTTATATTGTGACATGCGGTAAAAACAAAAAACAAAAGTCCTTGTACTGAGTATCTGCACTTGTACAAAGAAAGAAACAGGTTTGCTTAATGAGGCCATAACCATCCGAGACTCCCAGTTGGTCATCACACACAACAAACCTATGTGCAGCATGTCACATGTCACACCCTCCTTCGAACTTTCGAACCTAACGTTCATTTGGTCACACCCAAATTGGGTCGAACCTAAGTGCATATCTCTACAGTAGTGTGCTTGACAAATACATTATGTTGGAAAAATCAAAATCAACTGACATGGCCCAATTCAACCATATCAGATCACCAGGTTAACAGGTGCCTGAAAGCCGACATAAAATTCTGGGGAGGACTCACCATGGTGGTCAGCCTATGTGCTGCACTACAAAATGTCTTGGACTTTTTGAGGAATCAAATGTTACATTCGAATGATGGAAACACTAATGTCTGAAGGACACAGAAGGATTCATTGACACGGTGTGAATACAAATCTACTCAGGTGCAAAATGTGACAAGGTTGTTGGGTTACTGGGCGAAGGCCCACAGGGCCTTTCCAGCCTGAAACTCAAAATTGAACCTGGTATAGCAAGGTGAGCTGTGTTCCTGATGGTTTAGGAGGGCTACAACACATAAGGCGAAGCTTGGTGCCCTATGAAAAGAAGGAGTGAACTCACTAATTGTTTCGCTCTAGCGTACTGGTGGGAGTGTGTACCTTGTGAATGGTTCTAGAGTGGGTGATGATTGGATGTATGGAGCTAGGATTTTTGCGTGGTCTTGCAAATAGATGGTGAATGCTTCACTCGACAACCTCCCCATCATTTTGACTACGTCGAATGGAACTCCTCTCAACAGGTATTCCAGTGTTCCTCTGATATGCAGCCCATGACCTTTGAGGTCCGGTAAACCTGCTGTGCTCGCTGCTAGTGCTAGTCATTTGATGAATTCTGGCTTTGATAGCGGCCTCAGGCCTTTGTCATGTTTCCACGCGAAAAGGTGTTCTTCATTTCCTCCTGGGTTCACTTGTAAGTGATTCTGCATGGCTTCCTTTGGGTCTGTAGGGCTGTTTCGAGCTGCCAAATAGGTCTCTTTGCCCAAAAGAGGTGATGATTTCATGCTGGGTAGCGCGATGTCTTCTTAGATAGATGATCTATAGATAAACACCTATAAAACCAAATATCTCCACGGTCAGCGATTCAGACAAATACCAATGACTGATAACGTGGTCGTTCGTGGGTGGCTTGTCTTTGCTCCTAAGGTACAGTCAGCAATGTATAGTTCTGCACAACAGTCAGCAGTCAACAATCAACAGTTAACAGTCAATCCAACAGTATGGATATGAAGCACAATGATAACAGAAACAGAACCCGATTGGTCAGCGATCAACAACAACAACAACCAAACAACAGCAAAAATATCAAGAGACACAGTCACTCTAACAGTATAGAGATGACACAATACAAACAGACACTCCTCCTAACACTTCACACAGCAACAATGATTCGTACACAAACTTAGTGCAGCAAGTTGTGTGGAGTTACAATGATAATCCCCCTCAAGAACAAAACAGGTGAGACTACTGTCAGACCTAGTCAGAGCTACCGTAGCACTCTTAGCCTAATATTGAACCTGCTGCCAAGGAACTCACAATGAGTATTCAAACAGACTCAGGAACGGGCAGCCTTGGACTTCAATACCAAGTCCCCTTTTCAATAGCTAAAGCCTAACTCGCAAATGACTACTTTGGCCCAGTATAACATGCAGATGTCTGAGGTCAGCGATTCACTGTCAACACCTAAAGTCTCCCCACAAGACTATCCTAAGTCTTCAGTGAACAAAAGAGACAACACCAAACTTCTGGGTAAGAATGAGACTGAAACTTTGATACTTGAGAGAAAGTTGATAGGAAGGAACAACAACACAATCAGACCGCTACAACAGAAACACCAACACAGTCACGTTCACAGAGACTGTTAGCAACAACGATCACGACACACAGAGACAGCGATCAAAAGAGATGGTCAGCACACACAGTCACCAACACACCACACTCAAACTTGAGAGACAGAGAGAGTGAAACAGAGAAACAGAGATGTTAGTTTCACAGTCACAAATCTCAGACACGTTTCCAGAGACAGAGAGAGAAAAACAATCACAGAGACAATCTCAGAGAGAGACACAGACACAGACACAGACACAGAGAGACAAAGAAACAGAGAAAAAACAGAAAAACAATCAGAAGAAACAAAAGGGAAATAAAACTAGTCTTGCTAGTCGTCAGACACAGTGAGCTCAAGGTATGTGCTAGATGTTCAACACAGTGAGCTCAGATATGTTGTGCTGGTTGTTGAGCACAGTGAGCTCCAACCTTGAACCACACTTGCTGAATGCTGATTCACACTTCACTCACAATTTTATTCTGAGAGGGTAAAAGTGGCACTTGGGTATGCATTTATTGGGCAAGAAACAGCTCCTTATATAGACAAATTGGTGGCTATACTACTAGTTTCTCGTACTTAAAGTTGTAACTTTACTGTGATAGTACCAAGTCACACGATATCTTTGAGTCAAAAAGTAAATATTCATAACTCTCATTGGTATAATGATGAGTCAGCAAGAGCTGTGTATAGCCCATGGGTCAGGTGTCCCTTGATGACTCAGCTAGACAAGGAGTGAGAAAGTGATTACATATTGTGTACATATGTTTGTGCAATCTGTGGCTGATGAATTGATTGGTAGCATAATGACATAAGACGCATATTTAAGGATTTGTAAGCTTTCCCACAGGGTAACCTTATGCAAACATATTTTTCATAGTCACCTGATATGTGTGAGAATATTTCTGAGTCATCCTCATGGCTGACTAAGCAAAACTCATTGCAAAATTAAATGTACAAAAATATTCAGTCCACTTGCATATAATCTCGTAAAATGAAAAAAAGCGAAAAATATTCCCTTAGCCTTAGTCTGACTTCAGATCACAGGAAAAATGATTTCATAGGGCATAGGGCTCATAGGAGAGTATTAGTCATCCATGCACCGAACCAGTTTGGTGCAGGTCAGCGAACTTGGTTACTGGTAGATCATTGTGGTCAGTGGCTTTGGAGACTCTGTTTCTCGTGATGTGTTTGTGTAGGTCAAAACACTTGATTGTTTTGACCGTGAATTCACCTAAACGTGCTATAGAGTAGAACATTGTCGTCATGCAGGCGTAGAAAGCTGCATCGAGTGGTTTGTCTAAGTCCATCTGGTTGCAGATGCATGTCATGAAATCACGGGTGAATGGCTGCCTCTTTGGACACTTCGACGATGGAGGAGCGAGGACTGATGCACCTTTGAGTAACATTTTAAGCTCTCCCAGTTGGATCATCCAGGCTCTACCATGGAGTAAGTGCCAGGCTTTAATACCTGCTACGAAGTTAGCTATCACTGACCCTGAATAGGAACCAGTGCAGCTGGATAGGAATTCTAGGAGAAGGTTTGGGTTGACAGGGCAACACTTGTCCTCTTCGACATGGTTGATATCACAGTATACATGGAACACTAGTAGGCCCGCCCCATATGTCTCCTTTGTGGATTGTGCCCATGCTGAACCTATCACATCTAGGATTTGATCCAATTGTTCATCCGATACCTCGTGGTTCTGCAACTTCTCTAGCATCAATGCTAGTTGCCTGGTACTCTCTCCCACTGGTATCCAAAGCTTTAATCAATCTCGCGCTAGACAGTGTGGGTGAAGGACTGAAGGATGCAGTGTTAGGGACTGTTTGTAGATTTGGGGGGTAGCTATTTGTACTGGTTGGCTTTGGGCTAATGGGGCTCTGAACCGTGAGCGGTTCAGAGAATCATTCATCTCAGAGCATCACATTGATGTATTTCTCTTCTTCTGTTCTATAGATCTTTTGTCTCTCTGCTGCTTTTTGCTTGATGAGTGCTCAATTGATGAGCTTAGCTGCGGGAATGGAGTATTTCCCGTCCTGCAGTAGCCATAGTTCAGTAGGGGATAGAGGTTGGGTTGCGTCAATGATGTACAGTTCAAGCTTGTTAGGGATACTGATGGGGGGGAGAAGAAGGTGGGTGGGTCTGAGAATGCCTTTGGATGGGCCATCTGCAGGGTTGTGTTTGCTTATGATGTATGTAGTGACAATTTCAAGATGGTGGGGTAGGTTGTGGAGGAAATCATGGATTCTTCTGAACACTCCGTTGACTTCTTTATTACAATGTCTGTGATTCCACCAGCCTTCCATGACTCCAGTGTTGTCTCTGTGGACAAGGACATTGCTGCTAGTGCCAGGGAGAGAGGAGATGGCATGTATGAGGAGTTCGAAGCTGACAGCTTCTGCCCAGCCAATATCTTGTTTGCCATTGTGGGTTTGCCAACCTGGAATTAGTCTCCATGCTCTCCAACAATTGCCAATGACTATTCCTATTCCTATTCCTATTCCTGAGCTTGCATCAGAGAATGCTAGAGGGTTCTGGAGTTGGGGAGTAGCGAAGATGTCATGAGCCACGCCACCAGATTGAAGTAGTTTGGACCACCAGTTAAGGTCCTCGGCTACTGTTTTCCTAGCTCTTCGGGGTAAGAAAGGGTTGGATTGACTAACCGCTAACATATCCTTGAGGCTGGTGATGTACACTCTGCCTCGAGATGTTGCAGCATACGCATGCAATAATTTGCCATCAAGTTCTTGAATGTCCTGGAGGACATGCGTGTGATGCTTCCTCCATCTGTGTATGGCCGCTAAGTACTTGGCTACTTTGGCTTCACTTAATGCTACTACCATTAGTTTGAGGTCCCAACAAAAACCTATGTAAATCATGGACGTGTTGAAAAGTTGGTCTTTCAAGACCTCCCAGATCAGACCTAGCTCATCCAATAGGTCATTTATGTCCTGTAGACAGAACATAAATAGGGCATTGTGTTTCGACCAAGGTGATCAGTCAGAGAGATCAATTAAGGGCTGTGTGCAACTTTTGTTTTATTCTTCTATTTTTCCACTGATAGGACAACGTTCACCAAACCAAAGCCTTACTTCTGTTTGTCTTAAGCCAGAATTGGCGAATTTCTCATGCCATATCTTTCTGTCTTCATTATAGTGTTCACAAAACTCACGTTGTATCCTGAAAAATATATGGTTGTCTACCCACTTGTCTAAAGGTCTGATGCCTTTGTGTCAAAAGATTTCGGCTCCAGCATCATCTATGTGACCATAGACTCCTGCAGAGGGTGTTGCACTGAAGGCTGTACAGGTGTCCATGCAAAAGAGTGTTTCCGAGATCCTGACTATACCTGCTGGCCATTGGGATTTGTGTAGTGGTACCATTCGGTAGGCTTCCGCTATGTCCTGCATTGCTACTTCTGACCCTGGAGGCAGCTTGGCTATTAAGTTGTAGATTATAGAGAATTTTCCCCATGTTGTAGGAAATTTGTTAGTGTTTATGTCCAAATTCACTGATGTGTTTGCAAACGACGTGTTAACTCTGTGCAGGAATGAGAAGTTCTGAATGAGTCGAAACTTTCCAGGTTTGCCTGGTTTTGGGATAATGGACAACAGAGACAATTGGAAAGGTCTGATTAGTTGTTCTAAGGTGTCAGCATTGAAAGGGCTGATGTATCTTCCTTTGTCGATTTCTTTTTGGATAATGGCACGAAATTCAACAGCAAACTTGCTAATCGAGTCTTTATTAGAGGGGGTTTGTACATTGGTGATAATGGGAAAATCTATTTTGAAGCCACTATGAAGGCCATTTGCGATCTTTGCGAAATGTTTAGCTAACTCTGGGTGGTCAAGCATGCGAGTCCAAGCCTCTGCCTTATATGGTGTTAGCGGATTCTGCCTTCTGTGCTCAAGCACATCTTTGGGCGCCATGAATAGCGGCTCCGCACCCTGAACACACATGTTTGGCATCATTCTGGGTACATTACAGCCTTCTTCACACTGCCAGGTGGTGCAGAGCTGCTTTCTGTCTTTCATCCACAGACCCTTGTAGATGCGCTCCACAAAGGTCTTGTGTTGCTTATCCCATGTGTGGGAGGCCATGCATTCGATGGTCTTGTGAGGGTTATGTCTGAGGCACACTGCACAGCATGGGAGGGGACAAGATGCAGGAGGTGTGTGAATGGTGTGTACCTTCTTGTTAAAGTTCGATACTTCTTCTACAGGTGGAAGAGGGCATTTTTGCCCACTGGAAAACTTGGCGTGTTGATGCCATCTGTGGCAGCCATAGAGATTCCAGGTTGCTGGCAATGAATGCCGCCGCTGCTTGCTGTGATAGCAAGCAATGTGACCACATGTGGTATGTGGTTTTTTGGTTGTGGGCGGTGTGTGTCCTGGGGGGGGGGGGGGGGGGTTCAGTTGTGATAACTGTTGTTCGTGATGAACATTGTTATTAAGACAGTTCCAATCGACAGCATGATGTGTCGTTGGTTGTGAGGTTGTGATAACCCACATTTGTAATTGGCATTATTGGCACGCAATTGGCCAATAGCATTTTTTAAAATGGGATGCAATAGCCCAAAGAAGAAGGTAGTGCATTTGAGAGTGTATGAAATGGTGAGAAGACAGGTTTGTGGGAGGCGTTACAACTGACCAGTACTGCCATTGCTGTCTCCTTTTCATGCTTCTTGTTAAATAATTCCTCCCTCACTTCCAACAGCAAGTCTTGATTGATTTCCTCCAAGCTCCAGCCCTGCATGGTACATATGGTGAGGTGTCAGCGGTGGCATTGCTGGGATTGGTATAGCAACAAAACTCTTTGTTTGAGGGTGTCAGGTGCATGGCACCAACAATGAGATTGCAACACTGTCCAAAATTGAACATGCATGTCTATCTGTCGTCCAGCCAGTCATGCATCTTCATGGAAAGGATCATGTGTGGTGCAGGTTCATTGAATTCCTTCCAGGTAAGATTTTTGTCCTTGACTACTGGCGCTGCTTTCGGGTCTTTGACTGCTGCTGTGGGGACCCAGGAGTGGATTCCATCCGCAGCAGGTAACATTACTAGCGCATCTGGTTCGGTGATGGCCACTGATACTCTGGTGTCATCTAAACCTTTGTTAGTGAAGTAATGTAATTCACAGTAGTTGCCTGCTTTGAGTCTTTGAGTCGCATACTGCACTGGAAGAATAGTAGGGTCCAAGGGAACTTTTCTGCGCTTGATGGGCACGTACTTGTTCTTATTTTTCTTCCTCTCCTCTAGCCGTGCTACTTCTTCCTCATTTTTGCAGTCTTGTTGTTTTTGGAGCTTGTCTTCCTCTGCTTGCTGACAGGCTTTGCGCAAGCGGTCTTGTCTGTCTGCCCAATGCTGTCTCTCTGTATTGTTGCTCATGTTCCATAAAGCTGTTAGGGATTGAACGGCTTGTTGTTTGGTTAAACCTTCATTTATCAGCTGCTGACATTCATGCTGGTACTCAGCTAGAGCATAGTCTGGTCTGACGGCTTCATTTGGATTAACATTGGCCATGTCAGAAAAGGTGTAAGCAAAAAGTAGAACTAGACATTTGTACTGAAGCTGATAGCTGAAAGTGACGTGGGCAGAAGCAAGAAGTTCTGCACCACTTCGCTTGTTTGCGTGTAGACTAACTTCTATGTTAGCCTCATGCCTCGGCTAACTTAGAATGCCAGTAGGACCAGCCTAATGAGGCCTGGCATTGCCTGATCAGCCCAAAATGTTCCAGTGGCCCATATCACGATGACGGCACCTGGTGGGCTCATATCGGCCATGATACTTACTTAGTGTCCTTACAGTTGGATTTACTGATGCTGTACGGCCTGGCTTTACTTGATATTATACAAAAATATATTATTAACATGCAAGATTGAGTGGGAATGATAGGGAACAACATGGGTATACCTGCTATGCAGGTACAAGTTTTATGGGTGTACATCTGATTCTGGTTTGTGTCCCTCAGTCAGTCAAAAGGGTATCAACGGATGCAGCCCATTGTGCCTGTGCAAAATTGTGAGTATTTTTACTGTTGGGCTGCTGTGAAGCTCACAAGGATTGCGCTGGCTGCAATCATCCCCGGGGTGGTGTGATCTAGCCCCTATTTGACATCAAGTGTTTTGTTGTTGCAAGACAATGCAGAGTCCCTACCCTCGCTCATAGAAACCATGGATGCAGGTCCTCGAATGACAGTGCTAACAACCTGGCATCAAGTGAGAGATTTCATGGCAGTGTGACCATGGTAAGTACATACCATCATAAGCTTCGGGTTTAGGAATATAGTATTTATGTCCTGCTCACCTTTCCATCTGATGTGCAACAGCGCTACATGCCAGGTATCATAATACCATTCACCACTATCATTCATCATCCAGCCTATCTGGGTACCAAAATGTTCTTGTCGATAATCTGCTGATTTCATATTGGCTTCGGTGCAATTAAAAATTGTTGGGCCACACCAAGTGCGTATTCTGGTGGATATGTTTGATCATTGTGATTGCATCCCTGCTGAAAACTAACATAAACAAGCAAGTTACAAAATACCCATTGTAGCACAAGGTAGAGTATGAACTGCATGTCTCAGCCAGCTGCAACTCAAATCATTGTGGTATTTCTGTGGAAGGACATCACAGATATCTCGCAACTGCCCTTGAATCATTGTTTCTGTGTTTTCGAATCACTTGGCATCTTGATACCCATCATCGATATCTGTTTCGAAGGTCATTTTTGTATTCCCATGCAGCCAGAGTAGATGGGTGACAAGGAATTTCTGACCATAATGCTCAATGTTTTTGATATTCTCTTGCACATCTGATGTTGTGATCTTTGGCTGTTTTGCAGGGCTTTCAGCAGTCTTGGTTGCTTTTTGATGAGTTGCTTTAACCTCTGCAATGGCTACATTTGCCTTGGACTGTGCTTTTCGAGCATTCTACCATCAAATGTGTGAATACTCTCTTGGGATGTCAATGAATTTGCTAATCACATACTTTGTAGAGTTCCTCCCGAGACATGTTCATGTTGATTTCAATTTCAGAGTCTGTATCTCATGATGGTGTCATGCTAGTGTGCATGGCTCCAGGCTCATCTTCAGATGGACTAGAATTCTCATTGTATTGAGTAGGACATTGATGTTGCTGAGGCATGGTCGTAGTAGTATATTAGATCCAGTTGTCATTGAACAACTAAGTCTCACATCAAATTGGTAATGAAATGGAGTTCAAGGCCAACTACTTCATTTGAGAATGCTCCCACCAGGCTCACAAACTCAGTCAGTCACAGATACTATGCCACTACATTGGTGCGAGCATTATCACCAGCATCGAGATCCATGAGGCTTTGTGAAACACTCCCCTGCTGTCTTACTAGGATGTGAAAACAGTAAAATTCACCAATTTTCAGTATCCTACCATGGTCAACAGTTCAGACAAATACCAACAGTCAATAACATGGTTGTTCATGGGAAAAAGTATGTTGAGTTTTCAAAGGAAGTACTCAGTGACTAAAGGGGGAACGGAATCAGTAACTGGCTTGATGCAGTGCTATGATCCTAAAGAAAGTCAATAACTGGTGCGATGCAGTGCTATGACTTCAATGAATACAGATGTATGTCTATGCGATGATTCTCAGAGCTATATCAATACTGCTTATCTTCACAAACCAGTTGGAGATCAAACTAAGTGTCTAACATGGATCAGCCCAAACTAATACATGACTTCGAAACAACAGAGTACACCCTCTTGATGTAGTCTTAAGTTGGCCAAGTTCTTAATATTAGTGACTGATTGTTAGTCTTATTTGTCTTTCCTTGCCAATGAAAATATGTATATTCTCCCCACAGAATCAATTTTCTGTGTCTGAAAGAGAACCAGAATATATCTGCACTAGACGACTGATAACCATACAGTGGCTCAAAAAAGTGTCCCAATGTTTGTAGCTTTTCATGTAATTGCTATACCATGTGTCAAGACGTGGGAATATGACTAAGCTTTATGGAGGTATTGGAAAGGTCTGCTTCTCAGCTTTATTTCGGTTTCCTATACTGTGGGAAAATAATGACATTATGTGAAGATATGATCATTTTAATTTGATGACTCATTGGGACACTTTTTTGACTTTGAGTTTCACTAATGTAATCCTTAAAATTCTAGTACTTTGTGTAACCTCCTTCTGCCCCAATCACTTCTGCCACTCTTCTAGACATATTCTCTATCAATTTTGGGTATTCCTCTTTGGTATTTCCATCATACTCTGCTGTAACACTGTCTCATAGTTGGAATAGCCCCTATGGTGAATCTACTCAAGAAATTGCTTGTAGCATATCAAGATTCACCATAGGGGCTATTCCAACTATGAGACAGTGTTACAGCAGAGTATGATGGAAATACCAAAGAGGAATACCCAAAATTGATAGAGAATATGTCTAGAAGAGTGGCAGAAGTGATTGGGGCAGAAGGAGGTTACACAAAGTACTAGAATTTTAAGGATTACATTAGTGAAACTCAAAGTCAAAAAAGTGTCCCAATGAGTCATCAAATTAAAATGATCATATCTTCACATAATGTCATTATTTTCCCACAGTATAGGAAACCGAAATAAAGCTGAGAAGCAGACCTTTCCAATACCTCCATAAAGCTTAGTCATATTCCCACGTCTTGACACATGGTATAGCAATTACATGAAAAGCTACAAACATTGGGACACTTTTTTGAGCCACTGTATACCAGCTAGTGTAAAAAAGTGTGGCTTGATGGTGGCCTCAAATATGCTTCTGTATGTCGTGGGAAACAGTGTCAAAAAGTGGAATGAAATAAGCTAATATTTCACTCAGTAATCTTTAGAGGTGAGAATCTAAAAAGAGCCTTATGATCACTCTTCTCATTTTCACTCACTCATTCACACTCAAGCTTAGGTAATACAAGAAAAATGGGCTCTCTCTGATAACTTGGGAGCTCTCATTATTAGAGGGGAAAATGAGCCCCTTATATACTACTCTACTAGTGGCTATGCTACTGATTACTAATCTACTATAAAGTTTCAAAGAATGTCATAGAATTTTCCAGACTATTCCACCAACCTCCAGTGGTGTCTGATAGAATATTCTAGAATCTGTCAAGTCATCATTAGTGGCTGTGCTCTGTGGCTATGTATTAAGCTGTGTACACTGCCTCTGCACTGCCTGAATGCTGTACTCCAAAGCTTTGTTCAAACTTTGTTGCAATCTGATGTTAACTTGTTAAATACCATAGTGTAGGTCTTGCATGATTGTCATAATGAAGCTCTACATGGTTGTCAAAATGTGCCACCAGGTCACATGAGACTGATTATGTAATAAGATGTGAAGTACTTCAGTCTTTCCTCTGGATATTGTAAAAATGAAAGGCTCGCATAAGCAAACATGTTCAAGATGTGACACAAAACATACTGATTATGTAATATGTATGTCAGGATATGTCACAAAGTATGTTTCAGAACATGTGAAAATGTGTGAGAAAATTATAGGAAGTGTGAGAAATTGCTGACTAAGTGAAGAATTGTGAGCTTGAGACCAATCTTTCAGAAGTATAAGTATTATTCTTGAATGCTAAGTAGCAATGCACTCATTTTGAGCCCAAAAATACTCAAATAAATTATGAGTGCTACAAAGAAAATTCTAGGCATAACCATAGGCTTATTATGAAGGGTATTACAAGCTCGATATTTGCCATGTTCATGTACAAAATATGTTTTGTGCATGTCACTGCATGCAAACATGAACAAGACACCATTGCTTCTGCAACAACTAGTTTGAGTGCATTGCAGAATACTACAGTAACACAGGGTTTTCAGCCTTGAAAAAGGCGGCACATTGAAAATGACTTTGTGGGGGTAAGTTGCTATGCAAAATGCTAAGTAATGAATGCCGAACAGTCTTTCTGAATCATCATGTATAGGACATCAATGGTTCCTATGATTTTGACTCAAGTTATGTGTCCATGTCTGACCCCTTACCTGGTCCTCAAGTAGTGCAATCATCCTTGCAAATGCCACCCACAGCACATATCAAAATCATTCACCATCTGCACAGCAATATCACCAAGCCTGCCATTATTCCTCTCAAGTCAAGTCTTGATTCAGAACTCAAACCAGAATCACGTAGTATGTCACACGAAACTCCAGCATTACAGCCAATTATAGTGGAGTCAGTGCCATGGACACCATTCAGAAATATACAAGACTTTGAGTATATGGAGATTGCTGTTCAAGCCTGCCTCACCAAGTCAAATGTCAATGCTCGGCTGTATGGGTTACAGAATGGATGGGCGAAAGGAAGCTGGATCACACTGGAGAACCACAGGGACATGGAACAAGCATTAACAGCTTCTCATGCATACATCATTCCAGTGTGTCCATATATGTTTGTTTGTCGGTGCACAGCTCAAATGTGTTGTACATGCAAAGTTTCAGGAAGGCATTGTTTCCGTTGTAGAAGAGGAATGGGAAGTGGGGTAATATGAGTGGTATGAGATAACTCAAGTAGTCCTTGATGAGCGAGATATACGTTGGCCCAAGGGGATTGCTACTGAGAAGGTTCCTCTAAGTGTATAAAATGGAGGGAAACACTGGACCGGGCGCTTGGTCAAGCCTGGTAAGGCGCATGACAATGAGCGATAGTGGCTGACAATAAATAATGGTGCGTGACTTATAACGGAAGCGTGCGCTAAGCGGAAGCGGTGCATGTGTAGGTGGTGGAGCACAGCGACTCTTAATGAGTCAGAAAACTAATTGGCAGAGTTTCTAGTAACGTATGGCGGCGGCGCCCGTATTGTACTTAGATACTTTAGATTTTAGAGGGAGAACTTAGACTTAGAGTCCAACGATGTGTGGGCAGAAAAATAGTCATTATACAGTTTATGCGCTGTCATGCATGGTATGTGATTCATACCATGTCAGATATATATAGAGAGTGATAAGGAAAATATGAGAGACTGTCTAGCCCTTTGTCACTAAGTTACCTCTCTATTTTTCCTTTATTTCATTGTCTTGTATTTTATTTCTCACTTTACAGGCTTATTTTACCTTGTATTTGTATCAAGCATGTGACCTTCTGTTTATTTCTCATTGTTTATTTTTATTTGGCTTCTTTCAGCCACCAAGTTTTGTATCTCTATTTATTTCTGACTGTTTATTTGTATTTGGCTTCTTTCAGCCACCAGCTTTTATTTGTCATCACATCATGTGACTGGGAAATATTCTGGTTTGTAACATTATTTAAGCTGACTCAACATGTTTAGTCATGATTGGCCATGCTTTGTAACAACATTTAACATGACTCAACATGTTTAGTCATGGTTTGTCATGGTTTCTAATTTCTTTGTAAGATTACACTGTATTTGTAATGTACTTAGTAATAAGCTGATTCATCACCTGGTTTGTAAGCCACATTCTTACCAATCCATCTGATTAATCATGCTTAGTAAGGGGGTTCCCAAAAGGTATAAAAGGACCCCATTTTCACCCATGAAATACAATCCTCCCACTTGACTCTTATCTCAAACCGTGTGAGACCACTAAGACTTAAAGTGCAGGCCAATATAAGTGCCTTGAGGTAATCTAAGATATCATTATCTATTCTAAAGTTATATACTACCTTACAGGGGTCGACTATATAACTTTCATTATCATTATTCTACTCTAGGTTATATACTACCTTACAGGGGTTGACTATATAACCATTGAACAGCTCTCATTCTAAGCTTTACGTGTATTCATAAGACTCTCCCTTTCAATGGAAAGTGAGACACATCTAAGGACGACAAAGTTGAAACAGACTTTCATAGGTTGAAACACAACCTACTAGGCTGAAACAAACCTAACGAATTTATCCAGAACACAGAACATTCCACAACAACTTCGTATAAGACTACACAAGAAGAGGACAACAAACTAAATCCTCCCAAGAACTCACCACGTTACCTCCCACGAAGTAGAAAAGTCGGAGACCGTGGACTTAAGGACTGGCAAGAAGTCTTCACCGTGTATAATTGTGTTGTCATTATATACAACTTTCATATAAGACCCTTAAGTAACAAGACATCACTGGAGCCCACCGCGAGGGAGGCTTCTTCTTGTACCAAACATTGCAAAACAATCATAAACAAAGCACACTTCATATAATTTATTCCACCCACACAACAAAACATCAACAAACATATTTAAACACAACAAAGAAATCACAACAATCGTAAACAAAGCCATACTTTGTATAAATCACTCCACACACACATCACAACATCAACAATCGTATCAACGCAACACAAACAAAGGTCAAACATGACTACACGATCCGTATTAACATTGCCTAACCCTGGAACTAAGGCAGCACCTGCCAAATTCAAGGGTGGATTTTCAGAAGTCAAGGACTTTCTGAAACACTATGAAAAACTGTGTGATTATCACAATGTAACCTCTGATGAGGAGAAATGTGAATCTATTACCCAGTACATGTCCCGTCATGTAACAGAATTTGTAGAGGGACTACCGAGCTTCAGATCTAATAACTGGGGCAAACTCAAGGCTGACATTCTGAAGTATTATGATGCAGACCTTGACACGAAGCGATATAGACGCAAAGATTTATTGTCCTACGTAAGGACAACACGAGGAAAGAAAATCCCTACACTCACAGCTTGGAAGAAGTATGTGAGAGGGTTTATTCGTATTGCAGGATGGCTTGAACAAGCCAAGAAATTAACAAGTGAAGAATATGCAAGTTACTTCTGGGAGGGGATTTATAAGAAACTCCGTATCAAAATTGAAACATGCCTCATGGCCAAGGATCCAGACAGAGATCTATCTGAAGCCTTCCCAGTAGACCGAGTTGTCGCAATAGCAGAGAAATTGTTACACCGTGACCGGTTTGATGCAGACCTATTAGTTTCTGAAGTAGAGACTGAGTCTGAAACTGACTCCTCTACTGAAGAAAACTCTGATGCCAATACAGACTCAGAGTCTAGTGAATCTGAAACCGAGTTTTTTCATAAGAAGAAGAAGGCCCCAGAGCCAAAAGATAAGAAAGAAGTAAAGAAAGCTCAAAAGAAAGCGAAAGGACATGTCAAGGAAGCCAAAACTAAGACTTCCTCAAAAGATACTAAGAGTCCTAGTATCACTTCACCAGAACCTATGGATGAAATGGAGGGACTCATCAAGAGACTCAATGCAATCTCACTCGATGATCCAGACTATGCTTTGTATTATTACAGAGCAACACGAATCGATCCTACTATCAAAGAAATGATAGCAGCCCCTATTTTGAAAAGAGGTAATGCTACCCAAGGAGAATATAAGCCTTACTACAATCAGAATGGACAAAATAATGTAAGGCAAAACAGTAACACCAATCAGACATTCAGAGGACCACAACCAGGTACTAGGTTCTATCACCCACCGAACACCCCTTTCAATGAACGAACATGCTTTGGTTGTGGTGAAAAGGGACATGGTATTCCAATGTGTCCACAGATCAATAAACTAATCGCTGATGGTAAGCTACAGCGTACACACCGTGGGCAAATAGGAAAACCAGATGGAAGAACTGTAAGACGGCTACCTGAAGAAACGATCATTGAAGCACTAAAGCAAGAGGACAGTGTGCCAGTAGCTCACTTTATCAAAGTGAATAGCGGAGACACACAAACCTATAGTGCAAATAAGCAAAATAAAATTCAAGAGACTAGGACCGCATACATCGAAGAGTATGTGAGTTCTGATAGCAAAGATAGTGACATGGATGATTCAACCAACCAGTATGAAGAGAGTGAAGAAGAAAGTGATACAGATGAAGAAACATATGCATTCCCAGTTGAAAGAGTTACACGAAACTCCACACAAGGAAGACACGAAAGGTTCCAGGAGGTATTCCCTCCAGGTCAAAGCAAAACCCTAAGGAAACCGAGCGAAAAAGATAAAGGGGAAGATAAAGTTCCCACTACTCAAGCCAAGAAGGCTGATACTCATACCAAACCTAAGTCCACACAACCCGTTTCACCCACAAAGACAAAGCCTGCAAATAAGAAAGAGACGGGAAAAGGTCTAGATAATGGGTGGGATAGTGAAGACATCATCATGGATGATGTGGATGAAAGGAAGGTCAATGAGAAACACCCAAAGACCAATGACACACCTTACAAATCAATCCCAAACTCTGATCGTAAGAATACGACAACACGTCAACGCGTCTCTGACATCGCGGCTAAAATTAAGCCAGAGAAAATTCTTGAAACAGTGTTGAGGACTCCTATCCGACTTGAGGTAGGAGAGCTTCTTGGCACTTCTCGTGAGCTTAGCGGAATCCTCGCTAATGCTATCAAACCAAAGTCCTTACCTAATGACTCGAAGATAGAAGCACATTCAGTATGGACAAAGACACGTGGACTATTAATCAAAATAGCCATGCATTGTGACGGTCAAGCGATTAATGCAATAATTGACACGGGTTCACAACTCAATATTGTAAACAAACACGTCTGGAAGACTATTATTAATAGGCCTATAGATATTGCCAAGTCAGTATCTATGAACGATGCGAATGGCGGCGAAGGCAAACTACGCGGATTGGTACAAAATGTTCCACTAGATTGTGGAGGAGTTAGTACTCACGCGAATTTGTTTGTTGGTGATCACATACCATTCAGTCTATTATTAGGTCGTCCATGGCAAAGAGGAAACTACGTCTCCATTGACGAAAGAAAGGACGGGACATGGTTATTATTCAAAAATCCACTTGATTTAGAAGTCCGTTATGAACTTCTATGCACTCCTGACGGAAATGATCCTAATTGGGACTTTGAACCGTCCACTTGGGTCACTAATATGGGCGAAACGACAATGTTTTGCGAAATTAATGAAGAATTACCGAATTCGGAATTTAGCGCGCGAAACTCTAAACTCAAAAATCACGTGACCAAACAATTACAAAATGATCTCCATGCCGAGAATTTTATTTGTAAGAAATTTATCAGCAAAGGCCGAGATCAGTCGGCCAAAATTGAAATAAAAGATTTCTCAAAATGTATAAAAGAAGCGCCAGAACCAGTGCTACGCCCAGCGCCCACTGGCCTCGTGTATGATCAATCCAGCGCGAGGCATCCAGAAATCACACACACATCCATTTTTGGTAATCTATTGCATTTTCGGAATATGCCGGAACACGTGTTTGACAATACTCGCGCCGAACTGGCCGATTTCCTTTTTGAGAATCCCGGCAATTTCCGGTTCAGCACTTCCATTGAGAATGACGCACTCACACTTTCCTTCCACACTACTGCCTTCTCCCCACCTGCCGGCAATGACCAGGATGATCCTCCCTCTCCCTCTTATTCTCCCATCCTCTGGGACAGATCTTCCCTGGACCCGGACGACCCTGTAGAGGATCCTGGAGCTGGAGACTTTGTTGGAGGGAAGGGTACATCTTTTTTTAATTCTTATTATATTCAAAATCTAATTAAAACAAA